AAAAGCTTAAGACTCAATGATACACTGAGAGACGGTATTTTTGGTTAAAACATTTTTTAAGAATCCTGCATGGTGAGACTGAAAATTTTCTGTTCCTTGCTTAAAACTGTTGTGATCAACCATTGTGTTTTAACCCGGAAAATAATATTACTTCGACAGGTTTTATAGGTTTGTTGCTGGATGTTTCTTCTGGAATCAAATCGCAAACTGTTACCTTTTTTCTGTCAAACAGGCGAGCAATTGATCTTCGTGGGGGACATCAGATCTCTGAGAATCTTGTATGAAGGCTTAACTTCAGCCGCCTCAGGGTTGGTGAGGAATAAGGCGCCCCCGCTCAATTTTAGTTTCCCTAAGTTATATAAACAATAGCACATCAACTATTGTGTGAGGCAGATGTTTTAGCCGACGAAGTTTTCTTCAGAATCGGATCAAATTATAGATACACTTTGCGTCTTTCGGCAGGGAAGAGAAACCTATTTCAAAATATGAACATGTAGCACTGTGCCTATTGAAATACAGCAACGTTCCTATTTTATACATTTCCTTATAAGAAATACAAAGGTGATATGAAGAAATGATATGAAGCTGTTATATTTCACCGTAAGTGGTCTTGGAATCGATTTGCATGTTAGGCATAGTTCCTGTCATTCGTCCTCCTTAGTAAATGAAACACTTCATCTGAAAACAGCTGCTATATCCTCGAATTCATTATCAAGTTATTTTTAGTCCACAAGTTGCATTTTCAAGCTTTAGTTATACTTGGTTTCACGTTTGCCCGATTATAATTTTTCATCAAATTCTTTTTCGCATTTCCTCCTTCCAGTTTTAGTTTACAAAAAACTGGCACAACTTCACAGTCCGACTGTAGTCAGAAAAGCTTTTTGAACAGAGCGCAAATTACGGAAGTTTTTGGCCATTGTTAGTATTTAACTTACAAATTAGGCGGGCGAATTATAAACAAACATTGCCGGCAAGGATAACAGTTTTACAAATTTAGTAGCCCCAGTACTAAATGTGGAAAATGAGAATTGTCTACACGTATTCGCTTATTTCATTTTTTATATAAAAGATTGCCTTTCGCGTTTTGCGCGCTTGCAACACCGACAAACAAACAAAAAAACAAACAAACAGGCCAACAGAAAACAGAAGTGATTCAGCCTTAAACTTTTAATACTCTGCTTCATCTTAAGAAGCTCAGTATTGTTTCTTATGGCAACATCATTTAATTTGGCTTTTACTTGATTTTTCAGTGTTTAATATAATGTTGGGAAGGCCAATTATTGAATTTGAAAAATTGCCTTATCTACTCCTTTAAATAATGCCTTTTACGAATAGGCTCATGACATTCAGTCTAGAATTTAAGATTTCTTACAGTTTCTCCTTTCGGCTCATGCATTATTATCTCACTATTTAATATAATATTAAATGCGCCGGAGATTTGTGGTGACTTACAAAATTTTCGACTCTCTCATTGACAGAAAAAAAGCACCCGAATTCTGTTCCTGGCTTTTTGTGGCCTTTTAATGTACGTGATTAGAATCAGAACTTCAAAGCCTTCTCAGTTATTAGTTCGGAAATGGGCATCTCATAATGAACCCGGAGAGAATGCATGGATAGGTCATATATCATTTTTATTTATGAGGATTTTTGAAACCGACATTAAAATGTCCATATATCTCAACATGATTGTGTGTCATTCAGGGTCGCAAATTAATATTTGGAAATCGCTGTCGCGGATTGTCTCTCTGTTAGTCTCACTAGTTAATCGCTCCCTTCGTTCGATCGTTTGAGAACGCTAGAGAAATTAGCCTTTGTATTGTGGCGAGGCAATAGTCCGGTTGGAATTAGTCGTGGCCGCTGAATAGAAGCACTGAACAAGTTTATACAGCGTTAGCCTCGACCTAAGGTAAATATATTCACAAATTCCAGTCAGAAGAAGACCTGTGCACAACTGTGTCTATTGTTATAAACTCAAATTCAGGCACCTGTGAATATTTTACTTTAGGTCGAGGCTGACCCTGTGCAAATATCTTCGGTGCCTTTATTCAGCGGACACGACGAATAGACCTTTTTAGCTTGTATGTTTTGTTTTCCCATTTCAGAACACGTGATTGTACCCCAGTGAACTGTTTTTTTCAAATGTAGTCTTATGCACGTGCGTCCACGTGCATGTGTATGCATAAATAATGAGACGACAAAAGGTAAATTCCCTAGAGAACATCACGTGTTCTGAATTGGGAAAACAAAACATGCAAGGTAAAAAGGTCTATTCGAAACTGGACTATTGAAGAGGCGGAAGGGAAATGCCCTTGAGGGATTATTACGCGCGCGAGAACGTGCAACCTCGTCCCCAGGGAAAGCCCTAGGGATGAGGTTGGAGAGCAAGGAGGGCGCGCTAGAGAGGTAAAATTGAAATGGCCCTCGTCTATTTCCCTTTCTTAAACGGTCCTTGCCATTTTTAACGGTCGACGCCACCGTTAGTAACTTTTAGTTACAATAAGGCAAATAATACGTTTTTGAATAGTCTTAGAACGACGCTGAAGCCCAAGTTGAATTTATGTTAAAAGTTATGGAAATGGCTAGGGTCACCTGTTACTGATGTATCAGTTAAGAAAGACAGTTTCCTAGTGTATGTAGTTAAATTATTCTGGAATTTGGCGGGTCGGTGTGGTAGTTTTAGTGGTAAGGGAGGGAGATTAGGATACGAAAATTCCGGGTTCGGTGTCCGGGTTCAACCCTTGGTTACGATTTTCTATAGTTTCGTTGAACAGTCAAGCCAAGTCAAGCATACCCCCCAACATTCTATTAATAAATTTATTATTCAAAAGTTCAATCCGTCGGTAGTTGTAGATTTCAGATTCATCTCTGCATTCTCGTATGCGTAATGAGCAGTGAATTCACACGCGAAGCAGTTATGAAATTTCTACCAGCTCAGTTCCCTGAATTCGATGTGAATGTCTTCGAAGCAATTTTATCCATTCAAAGATTTTCAGTCTGATCAAATACAGAGAAGTTCTCGTTGAAATATTCACTGCTCATTACAAATGCAGGAATGCCGATTTGAATTTGACACTAGTTACGGGGACGACTAACCGATTTATTTTCCAAATAATAGATTCATTAATAGAATCTTGACCTGCCTGGACTGTAACAGAAACACTCTCAATAACAGGTCAAAAAATTTCTAAGTGTTTTAGAAATGGCAGCGACCGTTTACGAAAGGGGCAATCTGTTACTGAACTCCATCTGGGATTTCCAAGTAGATACGTTGTAGGGCCTGGGTCACCATTATAACTTAAATAGAGGGAGAGCTTACTTTGTTGTAAGAACCTTTGAAATTTTTCTAGTTTTTTTTCTAGGATCTATTAAGTATATCAAAATATATAAATATCAGATTTTAGGAGAAGCAGAAATTACACCATTCATAGTTTGATATCCTTGTATATATTTATTAGCCGTATCATAAGCTCTTAAACCAATTTATTTACATCGATTTTTGATTAATCTTTAACTTAAATTACATTTACTGTAGAACTTTTTATCTTCTAAGTTTCTGATTTTTTTACTTAGACTGTATGCATGGCATTGCATTGTTGTAATTTCAGATAGAGAGCCACCAGATTACTAGTTTTTGCAACTATTCTGTGATACCCTCTTTAAATAAAGTGTATAATTAATAAAGAGTCAAAAAAGGTGACTGAAAAAGGGCAGGGACTAGTTCTCGATGTCCATTTTATAGCCTGGGAAAACAGCCAACATTTTGTGATGCCACCACTGGTTTCTCTGCGAGATGACGTCTGAGAAGCAAGCACAGAAATTCAATGCTGATGACGAATCACTACTCAGTTGTGGGTGGAATTTATTTCAAAATTTGCTGCGACCAATCAGAAGATCTACCCAGATCTGAATAGTGATGTCATCAGTATGGAATTTCTACACTCATTTCTCAGACGTCATTTCACAGGGAAACCAGTGGTGGGGTCATGAAATGTCAGCTGTTTTCTCAGGCTGTCCATTTTAACGAGGTGACTGTTATGAGAGAGTTGACTATAGAGCAATCTTGAGGATTAGTTAGCATCAACATGTATAGATGTACATAAAAACTATTTTGAACATATGGTTCTTATTTGATAAAGTGTACAACTTTACGATCAATTGACTACTGTATTTTTTTAGTCATCATTATATTATAATTTACGAAGAAAGAACAAATTATAATTTAGCATTTTGGACCAAAATAATCCTAAACTTTATGATTTTTATAAGGATTTTAATAGATCTACAAAAATATTTTTGAAGCCACTCAATTTAAACATTACATTATGCATCAATCAGATGCTTCCCCCAGGGGAGGACCCACAAGGATCTCATGAGCTAGGAGCCAAAGGTAATTGGCCATTTCTGAGTTCCAAAAACTCTCACTTTCAAAATGAGGCCTTTCTTGTGACAATGAGTTTTATTTGCATGAAAATAAAAAATCATTTTCAAATCAATGGCTTCGTACTTAGCCTCGCTTTGAAACTGAGACTTAAGGTAACTCAGAAATGGCTCATTGTCCAAAACATCCAGGTTTCTTGTTTCTTATTTCATGTACTGGCATGTTTCCTTGGAATTATCAGAGGATACATGTATATTAAACACAGGCACTACTTTCATAATAGTGCAAATCCTCCATTAAATGACCCCCTATAAATTGGCTGCCCTCAGTTTACTGGAGTCCTGGCCCTGGTTCCTGAAAGGCTGGTTAGAGCTAATCCAGGATTAAAAATTTTGTTCTATTTTTGTATTTACCTTCCTATGCACTATCTAGAGTAAAATTCTATGCTATCATTACTGAATCTCGGAGTAAAGACACAAAAGTACTTTGTAAGCTCGAGTAACATGTTCTTAGACAAGAAAACTATACCTGCCAACTCTCACGCCTTAGGCGTGAGTCTCACGCCTGTGGGTTGAAAACTTCGATCTCACACTGGCTCACGCTTGCAGGCCAATTTCTCACGCCTGATTGAAAAATGTGAGTTGTTGCCGTCTTGCTTGACACAATTTCCAAAAATATGTTAACTCAGACCCATGTAAGGAACGAAAACCATGTGTAAAATGAATAAATGACAATACCTTCCTCGCTATCTCTGATTTTTGAAGTGAAAAGCACTGGGAGCGAGCTCGCGTTTATACGCGTCCTAAGACTGGCACTCGATAACTTAGCCTTCGGCAGACTTCGGACGTCTTCGGAAGACTTCGGACTTCTTTGGGAATCTTCGGAAATGATCGTGTCGTCTTCAAAAATCCCAGCACTCCCAGGATCAAAATCTCATGCTTATATCTCAGAAAAAGTTGGCAGGTATAGAAAACGTTGCTTAAAATTTGGCTTAATCCTGGATTAAACTTAACCATCTTTAGAGGAACTGGGCACTGATCAACAAAATTGTAACCTACTTGTCCCTTCCCTGAGAGTGGCTTCTTAAAAGAGGCTTTAATTTTTCACTTTTTCACTTTGCGTTTGTGGTTAAACTTTTGAAGGAGTCAAGTTTATAAAGTTAAGTGGATTCAAATATGATTAGCCAATGAGTTTACACTGACTACTCAGTGTGTAATATCCATGTGGAAAGATCATGAAGTTCCCAAGCCAACAAAGCAGTGAAGGTCAAATTAGCAAGTCCAAAAGCTAAGTTCAACCCAAATGCTACTTCATCGCCTCCATCGTTTACAGGATGAACGACCAACATTCTACGCATCAGGAAGCGTCGTAACTTTTCCAACAAACGTCCAAGGAGGGAATTCAAAACAAATGCTACAAAGACAAGGAATATCACAAAACACACTCTCTTCACGTAATCTCCACTTTGCATGTGGTCAAAGATGTGTAAGATCCTACTGAGAAAGGAAGGATCCATTTGCCGAAAGTAGGAATTTTTGAATATTGGTTCCCCAATGTAGTTCAATCTTTCGTGGACAAGCATCGCAACAGTTTCGGTCCAAAGACAAGTTCATTTCCGTACTGAGGAAGATCCAGTGGTACCAAGATACATGCGTCAAGAGAAGGATACGCTTACACGACAATACTTAATGTCGAAAGTGTAAAAAAGTCTGGATTTGAACAAGATTCAGGTCTTTAGGACGTCGTTACCTCGAGTCTTAGCTTGATTTTTTTCTACACGTATACGACTCATCCGATCCGCCATTTTAACACTAGTCGAGCCTGCGATGTTGCCTGCGGTATTGATGATTTTCACAGTGACGTCATCATATTGCAAAGTACGATTCTTGTTTACACTTTCTGAAGTTTACACCTAGGGTGCTTACCATTTGACAGAAAAATCCGGTTGGGGTGTCGAAAGCATAATGCTAAGCGATTTGCCAGTTTACCGTAGAAATGCCATATCCGTTACGGTTTGAATCCAAAAAAAGGGTAAATTTGTGTCGCGTGAGTCTGGAACTGAGAAGGAACTGAGAAATTGGTTAATGGTAAGCAACATTCCGTTTGGTTCGTACCAACCGGAATGAAAGGACTACCTCAAAACGTACTCCTCAATTTTCGGTTGGAATTTCCAAAAAGTGACCTTACCATTTACCCTCCATCCGGAATTTCCGAAATTTTCCGTCAAATGGTAAGCACCCTAGGTTGAAGATAAATGGAAAATAAATCTTTGTACAAGTTTCCAGCCCCGAAGCATGTTTCATTTCGAAAATACAGCAGTTTGACCTTCCGAGTTTTCACAGTGTGTGGCATCAAAATAGGAATGCTTTCTCATTGAAAAGAGTCTCTCCTCATTTCAAGTATTAAGAGATGTGTTTATGCACACGTATGCTAGTTCCCGAGTCAAAAGCAAGAGCATTTATAGAAAAAGTGAACTCCAGATGTTTTTGTTGATTTCCGGTGGATCAAAACTGTCCACCATAATGGCGTCTCCATACAAAGCTCTGCAAAGGTGCGTGAAACGTTTCGGCAAATAACTCAGAGACTGTGGGCTACAAAGACCTGCAATTTGGACAAATTGTTTGTATATTAGTCTTTTATAACATTTCATTTTCTTGGCTTCTTCCACTGGACGGTTTCCATTTTATAATTTTTTTTGTGCCGTGTTTATTGCGTGACAGTGAAAACGAAGAATTAAACGTTACTACTACTCAGCCTTTGTCCCTCTCTCGTTCTCGTTGCATGAAAACGCCTTTGACACGGAAGCATGCGCATTAACTGGTGTCCATCACCGTGACGTAAAAGTTTTCAAAAACGTCTGTTTTCATCCATCCACACTAATACAGCAAAACAGCGTTTTCGAACATCTCTACTCTGGAGAGCGCCTTAGAAAAGATACGTTTTAGGTGACCGTTTTCGCCGGATACGTGTGGAGGGCAGGCGGCCAAACACAAGGGAAGAATCTCCGTTTTCAAACAAAAGCCAGACACGTGTGTACGGGGCCTAAGTGAACTACTTTTGAGTGTTTTCACAGACAATGTCTGCGGAATGACGGCTTTGTGTGAATTACAGTAAGAAGTTAAGTTTGGCAATGCGTATGTTCTCTTTTCTTTCGTAAACATTTTGTTGCAATAAAGGGTAGTTACTTAAATAAAATGAGTCGCTTAATACGTACAGTCACCCCATCAAATCAGACACTTCATAACTCCTCGCCGTCTGGTTCGACTGTATGTGTATATATGTAGCAGGGACCATTTATTCACAATAACCACGTCCGTTTTAAGAGAGGTGTCTGCTTGAGGGAAGTGCAAGAGAGGTTAAAATTGCAGTGTTTGTTAGCCTGCGAAAAACAGCCGTTTCCCGTCGCTCTTCGCCGCTGGGGACGTTTTCCGCGGATTCCTCGCGAAATGTCCTCAGCTACGAAGAGCGAGGAGAAACGGCTGTTTTCGCAGGCTAAGTGTTTGCATGTGGCTGTGGAGAATGACTGTGAGTGTACATTTCGTGTTCCTCATACGAGGTCTAACTGCAGTTACCACGTGTCTTACTTGTCTTTGAAACATTTACAGTTATAGAACGCGAGCGGTCGTCATTTTTTCCTCAGACCCACGCGCGGTGAGTGGAAAAGTAATATTATTCAAATTAATGGTTAAAAAGAGGAGAGATTTGGCTTCCGCTCTTGTTCCTCGCAGCTTCACCGCTCTCCCCTCACTCGTGTTCTAGATCTACTATGACTGCTAGCAGTCTAGTACAGTTACACACGCTCGTGCCAAAGCGCGTGGACAGAAGGTTTCATTCAAGGCGATAAACTTTACTGTTCATTTCACTGTTTAATTCGCAATCAACTCATTCAACGAATCAGTTTAAGCCGTTCAGTCCGACATCTCTACAGGGGACTGGGGGTTTTACAAAAAGAGCATAGGAGCTTTGAGTTGGTCATGGATTTGACAAGTCAGGGAAATTTCGGGAAAAACGTCAGTATTTCTCAGGTATCAAGGTGTTTGTACAAACGCATTTCAGCATTTCCGTGCTTTTACTTTATTTTAAAAAGTGTAAATGAGAATTCCCCAAACCTAAGTAAATATTGACATGAACAAACATGTCATACACCTTTATCGCATTCCTGTGAAAAAACAAACGTTTGTAAGGTTTTGCCACAACATATATCACTAGATAACTCAAAATAATCATTACACTACAAGTACGAGTGCCGGCGTGGGCGGGCTGCAACGAAGGCTATACAAGTAACTTCTTATTCATTCTAGAAGAGAGATGGACTCTCCCAGTGCTCCGCTCGCTATAGAATGAATTTTGTCACGAGAGAAAAAAGGATGAGTTCAGAGAAGAATCGTACTCGATATTGTGTCGTAAACAATGGTGAACCAATACCTTTACCCTAAGAAACTACTAAGAAACTACTATTAATATGCTTCTATCCCTTGGGGGGCTCTCTCACGTACATTTTTTAGAAGAGTAATTCGCAATTTAGTTATTTACTTTTTCACCTATAACTGAAATCTAAGGTACTAAACTTAAAACTGTTCTCCTAACAATAATTCCCGAGAAGTACACTTTTCTATAAATATATGCAATTCTGAAACCCTAGCTATAAAAACATCGAACAGCTTAAACCGAGAGAATAATCTATCGCTTAAACTGAGAGAGAACACCACTTCATCCAAGTCCCACGTCTAAGGACATCATCACAACGAAACCAACGATTGTGAAGCAGGAAGCCAAGCGACCGTTTCCACTGCAAAGAGAAAAAGACATCAAAAGCTTGTACCTATTTCGCAGTATGCTGCAAGGTCAATGGATGTAAATGTACGTACATCGAATGTAAAGAAGAATTTAATGACCCTCTCTCCATTAACAGAAACTCTTAAAGGGACTTCATCACGCTATTTTCTATCGGTTTAACACACTAAAAGGTGTCTTCATATCAATTAATGTCATATCAATACACACTCTTGCAATGAAAAAGGCCTTGAGAATTGAGAATTAAGATCTCACTTTTACATGCATATAAACGAAGAAAACTGCTGTCGTAGCAGGTAACCCAAGGCTAACGCTACCTGTGGTTGTAGCGTCTTTTAAACGGGCGCAATCTGAGGCGGACAGGCCACCTGAAAGACCTCCAGCGGGAATGCTGGATAGAGGGAAGGATGGCGGCCGTTACGTAGCGGTCAAGAGGCGCACCTTAGATCGGGTCTAGGTAAATTTATGTATCTTTTTAAAAGAGGCTTACTTCCTAATTATTTTCGTGATATGTTTACTCTTGCAAGCCAGATACATTCTCATAATACAAGACATTCCAGCCTTTTCTATATACCTCATTGTCAAACTAATTTTCGAAAATTCACAATTCGGTTTCAAGGTCCTCGGTTTTTCAACTCGCTAAGTCGTGAAATTCAAAACAGTGAAAGCATCCGTTTGTTTGGCAAAAGACAGAAAAAACCCCTTCTTTCTTAGTCACAATATACTCTTTTTGAGCTACACACCTTTTCTTTTTCTTTTTTCTCTTTCCTTTTCTTTATTTTCAAAAAAAATAATCCAAATTTTCATTCAGAACCCTTAACTTGTATAGTTTACCCTATAGTTCCAGGGAGCCTATTGTTTATAAGCCCACGGCTTCTATATAAGCTTCCTTGCCATTACCACTTTAAACATTTGCTTTAGTAAATAATTTAGTTAGAATAGTGTATATTATCTTAAATATATTATAAATTTCTGTATACTGTTGTTTTATTTGTGGTTAATGGCAAAAATGAATGAATGAATGAATGAAGGAATGCCTGTGGGCAGAACACACACACACAAACTGAGAACACAATGTCATAGTCATCATAACATCACATCATTCACATGTAAAAATATATACGGCCTAGTATTAAAACCGTTGTGCCATTAAATAACTAAGGGTTTGTTGATAGGATTTTATAGCTTGTTACCTTGTTTGTGCTTCCGGTATAATATCATCAACTACCACGTATACCATCGCACCAGCTGCAAATGCTAAAGCATACGGCAATACAGGCTCGGCAATCTGCAAAGAAAACCAAGAAAGGAGAAATGATAAACATGTACGGCAGCGTCTCATACTTAACCTCAGTTGCTTGGTGCTCATTTTAATAGCTTCGAAAACAGAGAAATAGGCAAGCTCAGGATGAAGGGAAACCTTAAACCAGACGATGATAAAACAAACAAACAAACAAACAAACAAACAGAAAACAAAACGAAACGAAACAACACCAACAAAAAGGAAACAGTCTTTCAGATTGTTGATTGTCAGCGGAATGGACTTCTGATGGGTCTATAGGGTTTAATGCCCTGCGACTGAAAGTACTTCGATACGGAACCGTGACTTGAACTGGCGATCAGTCCACTGACTGGTGTAAAATCTGATCTCGGTTGCCGGTACGACATTAGGGACCATTAGTTTTGATTATGAGTACGTGCGTGATCGAATAAGAAGAGCATGACAGTTTGAATTTTCAGCCAGTTGTGTACCCATTCTTTCTTGTTGCTGTACAGCACTTAAAGCAGACACCAGACACATTAGGGCAAGTTTGCTTTCACAATAGGGAGTCACTCAAGACACTACGACGGCGAGGGCGAGAGCGAAGGCGAGGGCGGCAGTTGCGGTGAAAACGTCGCTTAAAGGAAGTGAATCTGCATTCTTTCATTTTTTATGGCAACTATTCCAACTCGCTTACTTTGTCAAATGTAGACGAACTCTTCTGGGGCAAAATTGCTAAGAACTATGCAAAATTCTTGCTGTAATTTCTTTGCAGCACATAAACTTGGTTTCAAAACTCGTACTTGTAGTCCACACTGAAATTCCCTTTTCTTGACACGTGACATGAAGGGAAGCTTTCTGAATGCGGCATTTTCAAACACTTGCTCCTTTAGGCTGACCGTGTACCCATACTTATGATATAATAAATATTATAAACAATGATATACAGGCAGATCTTACCACTACTGCAGCAGCACCAAACAGACCAGCTATTGGTTCTACCATTCCACTTAGTTGCCCATACCTAGGATTCAAAAGACAAAAAAAAAACAAGATTATGGCTTGCCAAATGACTGCAAAGAAGACACGTTATTCTTTTAAAATATATCTTTACATTAAAATTACTAATTTGTCAGAAAAATAAATCATCAATGCGAAAAAATAACCAAGCATACAATTCGCAAAAAATATCATATTATTTTTTTACTGGCAATTAAATCAAAACACACCAAAAACTCTTCCATGATGAAAATCCTGCTCCTCGGAGAGGAAGACTAACAGCTAATCCTTCTGGAAAATTCTGAATTCCTATTCCTATCGCAAGATTTCTAAGACAAACAAAGACATAAAATGTAAGTCAATTAAACAGAAATTATAGATTACTTGAGCTCTTTATGGCTTGCACGTAGTCATGTACATAGAAAGAAAGAAGTACAGAAAGAAGTAAAGAAGAAACAGGGAGATCAATAAAACAATGGTAGGTTGTTTTCTCTGTTGTAACCATTGGGGGTCCAGAGAGGTGAAATCCCACTTCAGGATATACAGGCACACTGTGCTGCTGCTTCAGTTCATATTATGATCTCATCTCACCTCACTTACAATGTACATATCAGACCATGACTGACGGTGACCAGTGTATACCCAACTCTTTTTGAAGAAAGTCATGAGTTCTTGTTCTTGCCTTTTTGAGGCAGAGTTTTAATCAAGGTAGACAGGAAGACCTCACCAGCCACATTTAAAGACCTTTAAGTTGCAGTTTGACCCCATGGTCTCCCCAGGGTTCAAACAAAAAATTGCAACCATCTTTCAAGGACTTTTTAAGAGCCACATTAGATTTTCAAGGATTGATAGTTACTTATTGCATAAAACATTGAACACTTTACGTAAATAACTTTTAAATTCTCTATGCTATGATTTATATTCTGTCTTGGACAATCAAAAAGCGTCAAAAAACACTTCCCAGGCCACTACATTCCAAGCTGAAGAAAACTCAAGGATATTTCAAGGACCTGCACAGAATGGACAAAATAGAATTCAAGGACTTTTTAAGGACCTCCCCTAAAATTCAAGGACTTTTCAAGACTGTGTGAACCCTGCACCTGCTAAGCATAATGACACTTCTCCCACTGAGTGGTGGGTGGCCAGGTGGGTGGTAATAGTTACCAAAAACAAACAAACAAACAAAAAACGTACTTAGTTTAGATTCAATGTATTTAGAATGAAAGTACTAATTTGGGAGACTACATTGTATTTTTGCATCTCCTTCTAGTAACAGGACCTCCATTTTACATGGTCATATGAGCCAATCGATAGACAGCGGTTTGCAGGGAAAAAGCAGAACTTTCATTTCTCAGATTTTTTAAGACCTTGAGTATTGGTGTAGCCCCTGGGATTGAATCCACATCCTCCTGCTCTGCAGTTGAGTGCTCTAACGATGAAGCTACACACTATCCTGCCAGGGTAAACTAATTTATGATGAAAGAAAGAGCTATGATTTATAGCAGTTTGAAACAACAACAGCTCTTCAAAAACAAACAAACAAGCAAATATCTACTGGTACCTTGCATTTTCAAATGTTGCTGCAGTTGTTTTCCCAATGGCACCAAATCCTACTCCTACTGCTAAACCCTCTGCCAAATAAAACATTTTGGTTAATACAGACACAACCATTAGTGTAAAATTAGTGTTACTAAGTCCTCGACAAAGGAGAAGACCCTACATACAAAGCTCTTGATCATGGAGAAATAGATTCATCTGATAAATTAAGGGCTTCTGGATTAACATTAAGGGTGTACTTCTTTTTTTTTAATCCAAGATCCCGTCAAAAATCCGGATCATTAACATTTTTGCTAAGAAAAGAAACGATGTATCCAAAAAAAGGATTATTTTTCATTCATTCACCATAGAAACGACAAACAATATCGACAGATCCCGGAGAAAGAACAACACGGCTGCTGACAATGGGCTTTTATTGTATAAAAACGATTAGCTCAAGGATACTGCTTGCTTTAGACGAGGCCAAAGGAAGACAAGTCTTGCAATAAGATATGTACTGGAAACGTGCTTAAAGCCTTGAAAGCCTGCGGCACAAATGGTACAAGTCTGCAAGCAGACCTGAGTCTGCATCTCGTACTTCCAAATGCCACCGAAAACCCTTGTTTGTATAATTGTGATTTTCCAACTCCGATAAAATGGATAAAATCAATTGTTTAATCCATGTCTCGGGTTCAAAAATGGTTAAATAAGATGAGCAGCGTAGTCAAACAGATAATGTAAGTAATTTTTGTGTAAGAATTGTTTTGAGTTCCTACTGGCAGTAATCACTCTTTTTGGATCCATAGTTAAGAAACACCTTGGATCATGTATCCAAAGTATCTGGTTTTGGACATGATCCAAAGAATCCACCTCTGTTGTGGATCATTAATGGTTCAATAATTTTTTTAATAAGTGCGATACTACCTGATATTTAATTATTATCATAATTTACCTGGAATATTGTGCACAGTGATTGCAATTATTAATAGTAATATTCTCCTCCAACTTGTCTGTTGTTCTACAAATTTCTGCTGTTCAACATCTTCTTTTCTACTCTTTGAAATATCTGTTTTCCTTCTCTGTGTTATTTGTGATGTAGTGCTGCTGTGTGAGTAGCTATTAAGCTGGATTTCGGTTTGGTGAAAGTCACCTTTTACATCCTTTTCTTTACATGCACTCCCATTCTGGAATTCCCCAGTTAATGTTTCAGCTATATTAGATGATTCTATGCCCTAGAAAAACAGCAACTGTTAAATCATAAAAAAGCTACAAATATGAAAAAAATATGGCATACATTTTCATTTTACTGGAGTCATGGAGTCTAGCAGCCAACTGTATTCCATTATAATATTATCTAATCAAAAGTTTAAAGAATTACCAGAATAGGTAAAAGCTTGTCAGCTCCAAAGACAAATACAGCACCAAGAATAAATCCCACAGAGACCGGAATGAAGGCAAATCTTCCATCATTTCCATAACTTCCTGATGTTTCAGCCATCTCAATTGCCGGAGCTAATAACGACCAATAGGAGGCTGCTAACATAACCTTTACAGGAAAAGACAAGCAAAGGCAAATTAACAATACTGTTACTATTTTGAGAACAGCCAATATTCATTTTAGCATGTTAATGATTTCTTCAAATGAAGGAAGTGTGTCTGTGATTGACAACCAACTAATTCTAACCAAACATACTTTTTTTATGTTTAAAATTTGAGTGTAAAATATAGGTCAAACAACAGCATAGAAACGAGAAAGGTAAACCTCTTTATTTCATTTCAGTATCTTGAAACATTAGTCATTATCTCACTAACAAGCCTGAGACCAACAGTCAATTCATTTTACCCTTTCCCCCTTGTTTCTCCATCAACACCCTATTTTATGGCTATTTAAAGTTAACCTAATTTAAGGCTACATGCAAAAGAGGTTGAAACAAGGATTTGAGGTCACAAATGGGAATAAAACTCGGGACCTCTCTAATGAAAAGGCCGCACACTGACCAAATGTGTCAACCCTTGCCTCCTTTCTGCATTCCTCTCCCTTCTTCTTTATGTTCCCATCACGTTCTTCTGCACCTAACCCCCCCCCCCCCCCCCCCCCCCCCCCCACTAATTCGTTACCCCTCAAATGCCTGCCACACAAGCTAGATTACCCATGGAAAACAAGTGCTTGTACAGCTGCAAAAACTGCTAAGCTACCATGCCACTGTCTTTGTGTGATGTCAATCCTCCAATAATTTTCTATTATTCAATCACTGACCTCAATTTCTAGATCAATCAAATACATTCGAAATCTTCCAAAGCTGATCAGTGCGTTCTTGTTATAAAAATGTACAGCGTACAAGTGAGTCAGTAGCGTCTTAATTTAGAGAGGGAAATAAATAAAAGAAGAGCTGATAAACTAGTGGCCTGAACCTCCATCCTATACTATAAATATGCTTAACCTTAACAACAAAAAGGCTTTTTTATAAAAAGTAATTAGGAGTCAAGCTTACAATATCAGACAAATTATGGATAAATATTTTAAATAAATGGTATCAGAACAGTACAACAAAAATATCTTACCCCAGCGGCAAATCCCAGGCTGGCATCTAGAACTTTTCTCTAAAACCATTTGAAAAACGGATAAATGGTGAGCCTTATTTCATGTTAGCTCATGTTGTTCATCGCCACCAACAATTCAATGTTTCATACCTGACCATGGCTGAAAACAAACACAAGTGCAGAGCCTAATGCCGTGACTCCCCAAGTAAATAAGGTACCCAGGAGGGCTTGAGTGACAGGATTATAGTTTGGTATCATAAGAAACGCTTTAGATTATAAGGATACGATACAGTTATACAACATTTACCCGGCGAAATAAACAAGGTGAATCAAACCGGTAACATCGGACAGCGGATACTCTCGTGAGTAATTTGATGGTGACGTATGCTGATTTTCACTCTCCACGTGGTCGTCCACGTGTCTAATCAATGGAAGTCAACTACGGAGTTTTGAGTGAGTGGTTTTCTAAAAAAGAACCGGTGTTTGGGCATTTTACCGAGTGGAATACTAATAATGCCAAACAAGTGAAATATTTTAAACGTGTTTGTATTTTTTTGTGTTTAAATCTGACAATTTTCACATTCGTACTCAGTGGTGCACTGGTGGTTCAGTGGTAGAATTCTCGCCTGCCACGCGGGAGGCCCGGGTTCGATTCCCGGCCAGTGCAACAGACATCATTTTTTCTTTGGTTAAACAGTTTTTTCTTTTTTTTTTCCCTTAGTATTTCAGTTTTTTCCTGCTAGGGGACTGTGTCGGTCTGACCAAAAAAAAAAAAAAAAAAAACAAAAAAAGCAAACAAAAAAATCATATAATACAATACAAAGAACAAACATATCGAGGTCACAAAAGCTTATGCACCAGTCAATGTAAACCCCCGCACCCCCCCGGCCGGGACATAGCGGGGCATTTGACAAGCGCTCACTTCTAAAGTTGCAAAATGCCCCGCACCCCAAGGTCAGGTTTTTCCTCTAAATGAAGCTAACGACCCCGCTCACATCCCCCGCTCTTGTTGAGTGGAAGACACTGGCTAATGTAAATGGTTTAAACTTTATTTGTCAAGTAACACACGTCACCGCATACAACGCTTTTCAAATGGTATAAAATGTTTGTGGTGTCTTTATAGTCTACTGTTAACATTTAAGAGAATTAAAAAATTCTACATGCTAGTAGAAGAGGGTTAAGTGTTAGTGAATGCAGTTTAAAAATGTATTTCAAAATTTGAACAAACACACTGTTTCATAGAGTGGGTTTAAAGAACACATTTAACTTTCCTGTTTCACCTTCTTCAGTTTCCACTGAAGACCTACTCCTGGCTAACCTTCAGTTGGCACTCATCGCAATACCAGTGCCCTGTAGGCTCTTTTGTGATTCCAACGCAAGAAAAACGGAACCATTGATCTGGACATTGTGGATTGTCACATATTTAACATCCCACCTACAAATGATGTTCCTTGAGCTTTCCCCTTTGTAGTTACACTTGTAAAAATGGTAGTGGTCTCACTCTCTGTTGCATAGAAATTCATGATAATTGAAAATCAGTTAACTTTGCTTATTATTTATATCATTGATGAATTTCAGCCTTCAAATAAATAAAACTAATTAAATTCCCAAACATTCGTATCATGACTAGCGATTCTTGACCCAGTCCACCTCGGTGGAAAATACCCCGGTCCACTCCCCCGCTGTTCTTGGATGACGTGCTAAAGAGGTCAAAGTCCCCGGGCCCTTTCGCTTGTCAAATAACGGACAATTCCCCGCAAATGCCCCGCTATGTCCCGGCCGGGAGGGTGCATTAAAATGGCATGACCAATCAAATTGTTTTAAGTTCTGATAGACTATTTACGAACTTACTCATTTTAAGAAAATAGTGCCGGTTTGAAAAACCAAATCACTATTATTTTGTTTAAGATATGACCCACTAATCTTTTTTCGAAGGCAAAATCATATAACTTTCATTTTCATAAAAACGATGTAACATGACCTCTTAGTGCAAATGGTCAATAGATCTTGTCACGGTTTTCGACGCCATCTTGACGAGTAGGCAAACCCGTGAGAAATTACAGTGTTTGTGTGAGAATCTAATGTCGAATAATTTCCGTAAAACAGCTGTTCTAAAAAATATATTAACTGTAAACTAAAGCTTCACTCTTAACCCGGCATAGTAAATCGAACCCAATCGAACTAAATTTCAATCGAACTCAATCGAACTCAATCGAACTCAATCGGTGGATTGAGTTCGATTGAGTTCGGCAATCGAACGAAATCGAACTCACCGAAAAGAAAAAAAATCAATCGAACCCAATCGAACGTTTGATTTTCGAACTCGTGATTTATGTAAAACAGACGTTGAAAATCTATTAGCAGATCTTAGAAGCTCGAGTTACTTCAGCCCTGAGTGTAGCGCACGTGTTTTTCGTAAACGAAGAAATTCCGCAGAAATGGCTTCAGATGCGTTGTGGATCGTAAGCTTCAAATGTATAGTCAAAGGCTACCAGAATGCCGCTTTGACGTCAAGGATGGCGAAGTTTTAAGGGTTTGTTCTGTTCTGTTCTCTTAACTGCCGTGGACAGTTTATAAATGGGGTTTGTGTTATCGAGTAAATAGTAAAAAAAGCGCAAGAAAAACTTGCTTTGACGGGCTTGCTTTGGGCTTGCTTTGTATAGGTTCACCAGAGCCAATCGAACGAAATCCATTTAATTGTGTTCGATTGAGTTAGGTTTCCGAACTCAATCGAACACAATCAGACGGATTGAGTTCGATTCAGTTCGATTTGTTCGATTGAATTCGATTTGTTCGGAAATCGAACTCACTGAAAGTGTGGTGTTCGATTTCGTTCGATTGCCGAACTCAATCGAACTCAATCCACGGATTGAGTTCGATTGAGTTCGATTTTCGAACGTTCGATTTACTATGCCGGGTCTTAAGGACTCTACTGAAAAAAATTGAGGGCGTTACACGCGCTAGAAGACCTAGAACCTGTTTTAAAAATTTTCTATACATTTGTCTGTAAAAATTTCCCAGGAAAATATATCGAAAATCTAAAGCACGCGTCTGGAGAAATTGAAGCACAGTGACGGTCCCCAAAATTTAGTGGTAAAATCCTTTACTGTGTTGCTTTAGCTATATTTTTTTCAAGGTCTTTGCAGTAAGATCATAGGTCATGTGACATCATTTTTATGTGAATGAAAGTAACCATTAGTGGGTCATACCTTAAACAAAATAATCAAACCCTTACCCTTTTCTTACAATGACCAAGTTCGTAGCTGGTCACTTGACCAAATGTAATTTTTAAAACTATGAATTACCTCTTTCTGAACAGAAATTTTGCACTTAAACTTCAAGGAGATCGTTGAAAAAATGATGTGGTAACGTTTTAAGCACATCTGAGCGTATTTAACCATCAAACGTTTAACAAGATACAAGCAAAAAGTAGTTTTGGCTGCCATGTTGGAGGACAAGAATATGCCCTCCAACATGGCGGCCAGTGCGCAATACAAATCTATACCACTTTAGTAAAAAATCAAAGTGCCATAAAATATCTCCCTTAAGTGCGTTTCCTCTCAAATTTCGGGTGTAGGATAATTTTTATGTGCTCGGTCAATTTTTTAAAGGAAGCATTAGTCACGTGACCTCTTAGAGCAAGTGGCCGGCCCCTATATAGGGTATGGCCTTTGAGAACCTCCATCTTTAAAAAGGAAATCATTTTTTGCTCGTGTTGACGTTGGGTTTCCCGTGTGATCCCTAAAAAGAGGAACCCTTATTGCTTTAAAGAAAAATGTTATGTTCATAAATGCCCATGCCAGTGTGTCTCATTGAGGGAATGCGATGTTAAGAGGGTTTGTGAATTGGGTCTCATTTTTGAGGTAAGTGCCTTAAATATGGCTGCAACAGATTTTGTTTGTCTCATCCTTAAATATGGTCAGTGAAGACCCTGGGCGGCCACACCTTTACGAAATTTATTGGAGAAACCCCCCTCCCCCGGACTTTTACGTGCATTGCCTATTGTACAAGCAATGCGCGTAGCTGTTCCTTCAGGTAATCAATATCAATAGTCAAAAGGAAGTCCTGATATTCTGAGATAAGTAGAGTTTAGCTGGGGGTGGGGATCTGGCAAGACACATCAAAACATTGTACTGTTTTTTATTGAAAATTTTAAGGATGGCGGCTTTAAATGTACAACAACTAAAATAATAATAAATTATGGACCTTAAGACTAAAGTTATATTAGGAGAAGTAGGTTGACTTTGTATCACCAATAGTTTTCATCTCACACACACCTTTTCTTTTTAATACCTGTTTGCAGGACAATAGGATAAAAAGAATAATATTTCATTTGCTTTTTCTGTTTAAATAAAACCAATCAAACTGGAAAATGCAAAGAAAACAAAGGATACTCCAGTAAGAAATAAACAAAATGATTTGAGATCAACAACGAAATCATAAAGAAAAATGCTTTGATCAATATTATTCAATTGATAACTTTTATTTATACACGGTTGAGAAATCTGAAGCAATACTTAGCTTGAGGAGTGACGTCTTTTACTGATATACAGTTGAACTTCCTTCAAGCGGTCACCCTTTATTAATCAACCAGTGATATAAATCCACCTTAATCAAGTAGCTACAGCTACCTTTCCGCTATCTCCTTTTGTTGTGATCTCTGTTAAGTGGCCATCAAGTCCTTGATACAATTAGTTTGATGCAGGAAAATACAGTCCGAGGTAGTAGGTGATTACTGATTGCAGACCGGTAGTGCCGCTTGTATTATTGGTTTGTCTCAACATAAAGTGATGTTTCTGCTGACGATTATGCTAATGACAAACCACTATTCAGTGGCCAACCTCTAGTAAGCAGCTACTTTCCTGTACTCCAGGGGTGGCCACTTAATGGAAGGTCAAATGTAGAAATATATAGAGGATATTACACGGTGGCGGGAAGATATGAATTTTATTTGCGAGTGGCAAAACAATATTTTACGAACGAGCGCAGCTCATTCGTAAAATATTGTTTTTGCCTAGAGAAAATAAAATTCATATCTTCAAACCGCCATGTAATGTTCTTTTTATTATATAGACAAAATTACATCGATAAAGTAATAGAGGGAAAATACCAAAATTACGTCATTGATAAACTCACGTGTGAGATTATGGAAAATAAACCACTCGGGTCCGGGATGATGTTTTTATGAATTTTACGAGTGGTACATTTTCCAGTAAAACACTCATGTCTATATAATAAAATAAAATATCTTTGTACTTTATTGTACTTCAAATATTGAAGTTTTGAATGTTTAACACTTGAGGTATTTTAAGAACATTTTCAATATACATACTAAATTCAGCAGTGCTTTTGACTTCATTGCTACATTCACATACTCTGTTCTGTTGATTGAGCCATTTTATTCATGTTCCATACACTAGTCTCTCAACCTGACTTTGATTGTAAAATTCAATTAAATGAATTATAAGTATGTATATTGAAATTAAAAAATCTATAAAGTTAAATACAACATTCATGTTTAAGACATCTTTTTTGGTTCTGTATCACTGACATGCTTCTTAGGAATAAACATAGGAAGTAAAATAAATATTACAATGAAAATATGTCCAATATAGTAAACACTTTTCCATGCTGCTATGCAAGGCTCAAGTTGAAGGAGCATAAATCCGCACCCAAGGTACTCCATGGAACGATAATGGCAAAACCAGCTCAACCAGTCATAGTAATAACACAGCTTTGGTGACAGGTAAGGTTTGATGGCTTTTGCCATGCGTACCTCCGCAATGACAACAAAGGGCACCATAAGGAAGGTGAGATAATATCCAGGAGCAACACCATGCCAGAATGCACTTACAAGTAGGGTGATAAACATTCTACACAAACAAAAACAACATCTCAAGCAAAAATTGTATTTTAAATTTCTTAAAAACAAATTCATTAGAAAACCATGTGACAACCCTACGAGATGTCTTATGATGTTACATGTATGTGATATCAAATGTTTCCAATAATCATGCACACTATGTAGGGCTTAGAAAAAACAAACAAACAAACAAAGACTTGTCTCACAGAAGTACATGCAGCATTAGTGGGTATTAATTACAGTGTATCATGCCAACCAACAAAAAATGATATTATATCATTAATCATTGTCATGAGCTGATAAACAAATAAATGGATGTACTGTAGCTGTAGCCAACAGACAGTTGATTGACGGATGAACCCAGAGGCATGAGTATTAATTTGTGAACGCACGAGACCATTTTTAAACCTTTTGAGAATGGTTTAACGGATGGCCCATGTTCGATAATAATTATATTAAAGTTCTAACATGACTCCACGGCTTTATGGGCAAAATTGCAAACTTTGGGCACAAAGGAAACAAGACCAAATATGGAAATATGGCTGACCAGAAAGCCTAGGAGCCATATTAGAATTATAATATGCAATGTAACGAATATGGGCCATTCTAATAATTCTACAACTGAACTTCTTTTGGATTGTAGCCCTATAAAATTAATGTAATAAACAGAAAGCAAAAAAATTTCCCCTACCTTAAATTTCTGTTCTTAAAGGGAAGTTTTCTGTGAACAAAGTTGGATATCCACCACTGAATAGTCAGGTTCCAGTTTTTCATGGTATTAGCCATGGATGGTGAAAACTCCACTTCGAAGATTTTTATGTTGTGAATTGTCTCAAAGCTAGGACGAGATGTGACAACGATCACAATCAGGTGACTGAACAGTACATATCTACACGTGAAGAGATTATTCTACGATACTATGTTATTTAAAAAAGATTGCAGTAATCTTACAATGCTCTGCAAAGCATGGCCATCTAATGTTGGAAATCAGATGTCTGTCAGTGACCATTAGCTCTTCCAGAGAACATAGTATTACATGTACATGCAATTTCTTTTGTTCCAAAGGAACCTGCCTACAATAACAATTTATATGTAACCAGGTACCTCTCATAAGAAACTACCTCCCATAAGTGATCAGCTATCCAAACAACCTTGAAATAACAATAATTTTTATTCCTAGTTAAAGCCCTATAGTTGGAACCTTTCATAAATCACCTCCTTTTGTAAGTGACTGTGATCACTTTTTGGGGTGATGGTTTCATAATTTCCATTGTTTTAAACCCCTTGTAACTGACTACTTGACTCATGATCTGATCTCTATGCTCACCGCAAGCACTACCTTCTCAAAGTATCCAAAGTAATTTGAAAAACAACATAGAACTATTGCATATTAATCATAACTTAGAAATTGCCTACAACAGAAAAAATTCACAAGCAACCAGTAAATCTTCGCATTTTACATGATCACTCATGGGAGGTTGAATACAGAGGAATCCAAGTTCTTTAGCTAACTGAGGTAAAGTAAATAGATTTGATTTATCAGGAGTTTGAAAAAAAAAAAGATTGTACTGTATCATTATTTTCAAATTATTAGAACTGATCAGGCAAACCTTCAATAAGCATAACCACCCAAAAAGTGAAGATTCAGTGGCATCTTAACCTGCCATGTAATCGGGCAGTCCTTCCTCCTTTTTTCTTAGGAAGATGAGGGGAAAAGGCTTCCCCGCTCCCCACCCCCCCAAAAAACCGCCTTATTGCAGGTTAGTGGCATCTGGTTGTCTCTTCCTAGAAGAGGCCTGGACTTTTTTCACTGTAGTTTAAGGGAGCTCTGTCATGGCTGTCTATACGTAGTTCATTGGGTTCATATTGCCAATAATGCATATTTTTTTGCTAAGGACCTAGACTTATAAATGACAAAATCATAGCTTTGCTTCAAACAAACATCTCTCCTAAAGCATTAACTCAAAGGTTAGAAACAACAAAAATAAAATTTTGAAAATGGTTAAGCTAACAAATTTTCAAAAACCCAATTGCAATCAACTTTAATCTTCTTGAAGTTTGTGCATCTGTGCCTTCTTTTGTATTTGCTATGTTATAACTACCTTCTTTTTAATGTTCTGAGTGATTATTTTTAGGTTTCACTCAATTTGGTGGCAGTTCCTACTGTTAGAATTTTGATAAAATTTGTGACAGCTCCTTTAGACATTTTAAAAATTCACAGACTTCATGTACACGTATTTCTAGATATATAAGGTACCTGTGGGTATCTCGGTGTATTTGCTCAATCTGATCTGTTTCACTCCCTGTAACTGCGCCATTTTCCTCTGGTGCTGATTTGGTTGGACCTAGACCAGGTCTAGGATCAGTGTAAAATGGGTATGCACCCAAGCCAAGCGACATGGCAGAACTTTCTGCTAAGAGCCAGCCTATGTAGAAACGCCACCTAAATCCAATAAATGCTGGCACAAGATATAGAAGACGGTACACTACTCCCATAGGATGGTCAATGTACTCCTGGCTTCCAATGTGACTAATGGGAAACTGCTCATTTAAGAACAAATAGATCACACCATAAAAGAGCATGGTTTTCAGATTTCTCATGGCAGGGATGACAGTGGAGATCTCTTCTGGGTGTTCTTGATTGAGCATGTCCTTGAAAGTTTTATATCGAAAGTAGGGACCTGTTGTTAGTCCACAGTAACAGTAAGCATAGCTAAGAAACTCATAGAAAGATGGTAGCTTTGCCTTTTTGGAATCTTCCTCACCACTCTCAGATGTGTCAAAAGCCTCAAAAGGAAATGTACAACACTGCAAAAGTAAGACAATTTGAGTGAGAACAATAAAAAATATTACCATAACAAATCACATAATTATTATTAAATTTTATGTGTGATTAATATTTTATACATGTAATTAAAAAATTGTATGTGCATCTATTTTTCCAGTTAGAGCCACTACTTCTTGACACAAGCTGCAGAGGCCATCAAACACTCAGAACAAGTACAGGTATATGCTGGTCTGCATAGCATGTGCTTATCAAGCATCACTTATTGTCTATGGGCTATCCCTAACTTCCTTGATTGTCGCACACGCTCTACATGATATAGTTTGTGGATGCTAAAGTTTTTCAGTTGGGATTATACATTGTCCCAAAAAACACTGGAAGCAGGTACATGTGGAGGCATTTAAAGGTTTTTTTTTTCTTTCCTGACTGACAGACTGAGTTGTGATCTTAAATTTCTGTAACATTTATTTTTTTTTATTACATATGATGCTTTTTTGAACACAGTTTACATGTAACACTGCACAACAGTGTTATATTTTGCAATGGAAAACTAAATTTGCCAGTTGACTAGACTGCCATAGATGATTGTGATAAAAACTAGACAACAATACATTAGGGCTGCAAGGATGTACCTAGGCATTGATGAACTGCAATTTTACAATCAGGGTTTTCATTATTTCTTGAAGTACAGCTGTAAAAGGGTGCCTGAGTTTCAGTAGGTGGGGAAAGTTGGATTGGCATTGACTTTTCTATTTCACATACATGTACACTGTACACTGGTGCTGGTACCTTAGTCTCAGCTCCACTTCTAAATAAAACCCCTGCATGATTACAAGTTAACATGATAGTACAATACAAAAATGTGCTACATCTGTACGTTGAAGAAATTATGAAATCACTTTTTTAATATTTCTCACAAACTGGAGGTCTGCAAGGTGACTTTTAATGGAATAAATGACAAAAGAAAAGCAAACCATTTAGGCTGCCTTGCATTCTTCCAGCTTTATTTTTCTTACAACTCTTTCCTCAAGACTACGGATGGATAAGCTGGTGAACAAACATACATCATAATACTTACTTGTCATCAAAATGATTTGTTAAAACAGCTTGGGCTTTTTTACGACAGTTAGCAAAATGTTTTTACGACCACTTTGAAACACATCAAACAGGAGAAATGTGAAAAAAATAGAAGTGGCACTTGCAAAATTTGACACAATGTTAAAAAGGTTACGTTATTGTCTTGTGGCCCTTGTATTGCAATCTGTATTGTACCACTGGGAAATATTTTGTTGCACCCCATTAGGTACATATCATGTATATAAAGAATAAATTGAATAAATTACCCTTAGAGTAATCAGAAGCTGTATAGCATTGCTATGAGGAGGAGGCTTCTCAAATCCATAATATGCACAGGTTCGGAAAAAGAACAGGTATCCAAACACAAACGAAAATGCTGTCCACTCACAGCGCCTGAAGAATAAAAAGAAAATAGATTTCTCTACAGGTTTGTCAACAATGTTTTTGAGGCCTCATCATGCATTTATCTACGTAGGAGTTTCTCCATAAATCTGTCAAATCAATGAAATTCTTACTGATAAATTATAAAGAAAAAAAAACAATGGAGGTTATTATATACTATAATGTAAATTTTATACAATAGAATGCTTGAAGACTTTCTCTTTCCTCCACATAAACGACTTCCTAGGACCCACTAACTCTAAGTTTAGCACTCTGCTTAGACAATGATTTTTATGTCAGTTTGCACAAATCATCGATAAAAGGATGTAAAATTGTATTTAGCCCAAGATTTTAGCCAGAAGGTGTCCAGCCGTCCTGTGGACGGCCATTTTTGGAAGAAATACGAGGAAAATTCTCTGAATCTCTTATAATTTTATGGGAAAACATGCCTTCTCGACAGCCAGTTTTCAATGTCTGGCTAAAAGCCTAATTTAGCCTCAAAGTTGAGACACACTGTACACCTGTACATGCAAAGTAGTAATTTTAAATAAAAAATGAACCATTATTAATTTTCAGGGTTTTCTTTGATTCCAATGTGTTTTTAGGGTTTCAAAGTAATACCAAAACATCATGACATAGCTCCTGAGACACTAGAAACAACCTCTTTAATAAAAACAACATGCAATGAAAGTAAAATGCCAATAAAAAACAACAAACAAGATAAAAGCATTTACATTTTAGAATAGGCATGGTTTGAACACTACACAGTGCACTTCAGATGATGCAAGCTCAATTCAGCCTAAGTGCACGTGAAGTGCTGCATTTTATAGAACATGGGCCTTAGCAAGCCTTAGGGCAATAACTTTGTTCTGTGGCCAAAATATTGACAGAACCTACTGTTTGGATTTCATTGTTGCAAGAAGGCAAGACGTACTCTACAGCCTCTTAAACTCATCAACTGAGAGGAGTGTCGGGGGAGGTGCCTTTGAGGCCGGTGCAGCCATCAACTGCAGCCACGTGCAAAGCGTAAACTTGACAACCCTGAGGGTGGTGTTCACCCACACACTGCCACACTGCTAACCAGTGAAACCTCACTGCCACATACTTACCATAAAGGGGAGGGGACGGTAGGGAGCAGTAAACAATTTGAAAGCACTAGCCACGGCAGGCAATGACATGCGAATGTAATGGCCTGAACTCTGAGGAATGGGTATAAAAAGACCCATAAATCCCTGCAATGGGATTAGGGCACCCTGCGAGAGACAGCTGGCCAGCATGGTCTTGAGTTAAAACTTTCATTCAGCCTCGCTCAAAAAATCTAGGATCTCAGCATTTTTTGTATTAATTTTGTTAAAAAGGAAAATCTGACGCTTTCTTTATCACCAATTTAATCATATTTAACTACATTTCTTTCACACAAGTAGTGTAGCACTCTCCGAAGGGGCCCAGATTTCAGTTCCCCTTGTGCACGGTCGACCTATTTAGTAAAGGTTACAAAAAGTAGTTGAAAGGTTATGATCATAACACAGTATCAATACATGTATTTGAGATTGTACTGCAGCTTACGTGTACAGATTTCACTTTCAGTTTGAGTATGAGACAATTTAATCTTCATCCAACTTTACTTTTGCCTAATGACAACCACACCACACCACTTAATATGAGAGCAGGAAATTTTGATTACATCCAAATTTAGCGGCGTTTAACCTCAAGTCCCGAGCGCACAGCAATACCAGTTACTGATGGCGTTTACGTAAATTCTTTTCCAGACACGCTTATAGATAAAGACATTTAGACTATTTTCTGAGCAGAAGACTTACCTTTTACCAAGCAAAATGACTATCAAATAAGTTCCAGCAGCGGCCACAAAAGAATGTAAAATTCCTCGACCCACAAGGGCCAATGAGAGACATATTCCGGCGGCCATACAGAGGAACTCTTTTCGTGCCGGCGAACCGCTTATCTTCACCAAATGACCGAGCGGAATCGCTCCTACTAACATCGATAGGTAAATTAAATCTGTCGGCGACATTTTACTCTCGAGAATCTTTACGTTACTTCGTGAAATGCCTACAAGGTGCAAGACTCGAAATCCCGATCGTCTCTCGACAATCATGCCATCTTGTACCCAGGGCCCCATGACCAATCATTGACCTTGAACGACATTGCCGGACCACGTGGTGCCGGTCCCGGAGCGCATAAGATTCTTACCGCGCCACGCTTTCCCGATTTTGAGAAAAAAAACCGACTGTTTTGCAGTCTAATGAAAATTGAATCCTGGTTCAAGCTATATGAAGCGGCATGGCTAGAGAGAGTTTGAACGTTTTTACAATACAGATGAATAATTTTAAAATTACGATGTGGCTTTGTGAAAGTAACTAGAAAGATTTCATTTAGACAGTTCAGCAATTTGCAAAATTTTAATAGCTACTGCTTGCTTGAGAGCCGCTCCCCTCAGTCCCCTGCCTCAAACAAAATGGCGGCATTTGTAGGTGCACACGCAATCACTTGTGGAAGTACCTTTGTGGAGTATTGCACTAATTAAAAATACCGTTAGCAGAAAGTTATTCAGCACTGCAACTCAGGCAACAGCTTATAACTTGAACTAAATGTCCTGGAAAGAATCAACAATCAATGAAGTAATTAGATGACCCCTTAGATCAAACAACATAATCATAAACATAAGAACCTTTAAACGTCTCCTCAAATCACATTTAATAGATTTACAGAATACTCAATAAATCATTTGTAATTTGTTGCCAGGTATTAGACGATCAAATTTTTCTTTATATTTTTTATTCACTTGTAAATTACTCTATTGTACTGCTATTTGTTTATTTAATTATAGAAGTATATTTATGACTAAAAACAAATCTAATGTAAAGAAGTCTCACCTATAAGCCTTCATGGCTTGTTGAGTCTTCCTCGCCTTTGAGATTCTGTTTAGTTTCGTGTGAATTTCATGCAATGTAATTTATTATTATTATTATAATTTCATTTCATTTATATGTAAAAAGGCATTAGAAATCAATAAATAAAAAAATCAAACAAAGTGCATGTAGCCACTGACAATTTTCAGTTCCGAAGATCAATATCATAATGGAAGAACAATTTAAAACTGATGAGGAATATTAATTTCGTCAGTTTTCACCGTGATCTTGTATCTTCATCAAGAGCAAAAGAACATATATCGTGATATATGTTTTCTAAAGATGAGGAATCTCTCGTCAAACAAGCTTTTTTAATGTCATTCGACTTACACTGTAATGGCAAAAATAGCTTCCACTCTCATTTAATGAGTATGTCAGAATACTTTCAGCTTCCTGACTTTATTAATTAATCCTGATTTATTGGATAAATCTATGGTAAAAAGCTATGTAAGTTTAATGAAACAGGAATATACCTCTTACTGGCAAAACACCCTTCAACATTCTCAAAAACTTGAATTTTACAGATCTTTAAAACCGATCATACCTCCTCTAGTTAGGAACAGCTGGGAGAAGGGCTTTAGTAAAATAACGAATAAGCAATTACAAACTAATGATAGAAATAGGCAGATACAATCAAACTACGAAAGATAATAGGCACTGATTTCCCTTTTTGTGGATGCAATGTCCTACATACTCTTTGATTAGGAATAAATTTTACTATAAAGTCAAGACTCTGATTCCAAATATTACCCAGTTACTTATAAACGGTTTGATCAATGAACTGATGAACTCTTCTAATCACTTTATCAATATACAATTCATAAAATATATTTCGGCTTGCTTTGATGTTCGTGACAAATTATTATCAAAGTAACGTAATTGCCCTGTGTTGTAATTTTGATTCCTAAAAATAGCTTTTGCAATAATGTATGTGCTTCTATGGCCATGCAAATAAAGCCCGTTGTTGTTGTCAGGAGTTCGGAATGTGAGCGTTCCATTCTGTTCTATTGAGCGCTGTGGTTTGTGAGTTCGGTACCTCGTTCTCAGGGTTTTTTCCTGGAAACGAGGTTGGTGAGTTCGATTACGTTCCTATCCGAACTTAAACGAACTCAATCCAACAATTGAATTCGATTAAGCCGGTTCGAATCCTGTGTTCGATTGGTCGATCTTCTCAGCGACTGGATTGAATCCGAGTCTAGGGTAGGTACAGGATACCCGTGAAGCGAATAAGAGCCTCTGTTTCAACTGACTGTGAGTGGCGCTCATCTTTCTGCAGGACTGTGGCTGTTACCGAGAGGTAGCGCACTCTCTCAACAGAGAAGTTATCTTTAAAAAAATTAACTGCACATTACGCATGCAGGAATGCAGATTTGAATTCGATACTGGTTGCGGCAACGACTAACGGATTCATTTTTCAAAGAGTCGATTCTTCAATCCCGTAATCCTGACCCAAAATTTCGAGCAATCTCTTAATCCCGATGTTTATTTTTGGCATCCCGCCTTCCGTGCACACTTTCAATCCCGAATCTTGCGTTGATTTTGCTTTCAAATCCCGAATCTCGAGCTTAAAATTAGAGAAATCCCAGATCTCGAAAACACACTGGGGACCCTATTCATGGAATCTTGGCGATACTCTTGACCTGGCTTGACTGTAATACGAACGCTTAATGATGTCTAAGGAGAATAACACTGAAATGGATCGGGTGAAGGACAGGATGATTGTCCTACTCGTGACTTTATTGAAAAGAGAAGGGAGTTGTGGAGCTGAAATGCGTTCCACAATTGGGATCGTTACTTGGGACACGCCGATGAGCTATTTGTTCCCCTGTCCTTATTAGTAACAGTCCCAGAAGTCTTTGCGAAACTTAACTCGGTCCAAGTTTCTTCTCGGTTTTAAGGTGGTGAATGTGGGGTTTAAGCGTAAGGCGACCAACAGTGGTGACAAACTTGGGTAATGCGGTGGATGGGCTGGTGCGATCTAGAGGCATAGAAGCCAGTAGTGTTCGTAATAGCTTTGAGATGAAGACTAAATGGGTGTCCGCGTTGCGTGTGCAGGACAGGTGAAGCTTCACGCTCACAAGGATATATTAGCACGTCCACCGCGGCAAATGTGTGTGGCCAGGAGCCCATAACTTGGAGCTGCTAATCTGGCAGCTCGGTCTCCAATCTTGGGTGTTTCGATTCGACTGCGATAATCGGTGGGGAATACCGCGGGCGCATCGAAAGACTGAGCCTACTATAGCTGAGGCTGAAGCATGATATCGGCCTTATTAGGTAGCGCGTTACCTTTAAAAAGTATTAGAGTGAGGTTCTTACCTAGGCGTTATTACTGTTATATTGGAGGGGGGGGAGAGAAATCACTTAATAGTTCGAACTAGAAAATTAACTCTACAGGCCAGATGGTGGGAGAAGTGCGGTGGGAGCGGAGCACTTAATGCGCGACGTGCTGCGAAGCTCATTGCTGGACTGTAACAGGCGTGAACCACACAAAACACCAGCTAGTGTACGAAGCAGTGAAGCTACGGCGTATACGTACGGTTTTAGTTCTCGCTTTGAATATCCTAAAATGGCGAGTCTAACATGATAGCAAACAATTGGACAGGTGGCGGCTTAGGACAAAATGCATTATCCACTCTTGTTCTATAAATTAAACATATTTCTTTAACGAGCTCTTAGTCACTAAATTTACATCTTCTAGGAAGATATACTTAAACTCTACAGCACTCGCTTGCCGCCGGTTGAAGCTCCTTCAAGGTGGGTATCTGAAAAGATCAGAAAACAACATGTCTTTGAGAGTCTTTTCGCATATTTAAAAAAGGAACTGCCTAGAGGCCAAAAACAGCATCTTTCCGCCCAATTACATTTGAAAAGGGATATCAAACGTCCTGTTCTCTTTTACGAGTATTCCAACACATAAAAGAAGATTAAATTTGCCGATAGAAAAACGCACTAGTAAAGAAAAGGTCCCCCGGCCTGATACGGGGAAGATATCATAATAACTTCGACTATAAGCGCAATAGGAATTAATACGAACAGTAATTTTCAATTCTGACCCTTAAAGTGTCAACGTCCCTGGAATCAGCTGCTATTCGCCATTAATTCATTCAAGCATATTTAAACGATATATATCTTCTTGACCATATATCCACCATAGTTCCTGTCAACAACCAGTGTATCACTGAAGAGCTTAGTTGAAATTACTTGACTTTTAGTCGCTTCAGTTTACGGCGTCAGTTGGTGGACCATATCCAAAACGAAGATGGTTTAACGAAGGAGAAGACCTTCTTAAGATTACAGGAAGTAACCAAGTAAGCTGGATTGAAAATTTACGGTCATTTAAAAAAAAATGTAGGGTTTTCGTTGAAGTGAAAAAGGGTTGGTTTTGGCAATCTCCAGAATCATGATCACAGAGGTTTACGTCCGTGTCAAATTTGTCGCATTGTCACTTTGCGAAAAATATCTTTCATTTTTTTTCGAGGTTAGCTTTAACGCTTAAAACCAAGGCAACATAAGCTAAAATGCTAATACCCGTCCGCTTTGATAACATGGCTTGACCTTAGTCGCCGAATGTAGTGCATTAAGCCACGCCACTATTCCTGCAAAGTGACTAATGTTTTCTTTTTTCACGACGATTTTGCTTGGCTCTTTTAAACTGTAGCAACATGAATTTTGTATGGAATTGATAAATATTCTGAGAAAATGAAAAATAAATAAATAAAAAGATAAATTACTGGTTGAGAAGCACAGAGACATACACATCTATAAGAAAACAGTATATATATATGTATTTATATATCTCTCTAAAACCGTATAACTGTTGCTAAAATTTATTTAGACATTCAAAGTTAAAAAAATCGGGATCTTTGGGTTTTTCACTCGTTACTGCAAATAAAGGAATATTATGAGAGATCATCCTCCGCTTTTCGACTAGCCAACGGTCAAAACAACACCGTTCCTTTCTCAATATTACGGAACTGAAAAATAGCACAAATACAATGAGCAATATTTTTGAAAAGAAAAATATATAACACCGGTCCATGTTTACATAATCCTGCATAGAGGATTATTTTTCTGCTATTTTACATTATTTACTCGATCTACAAACTTTCTTTAAAAAAAATATTATCCCGGCAGCACGCTTTAAGTTTCAATGAGCATTCTAATTTTTTCAAATTTGTTTATTGCAAAGTTTTCTTTGAAGGTGTACATTAATTTTTTATTCCAAGAGTAATCTTTTAGTGCTTTTATACCACACTTGGTTTGGCTTGCTGTGTTGAGTATCATGCAAATAGTGAAGCCCACAAGTGACTACAAGACTAACTACAGACCGACGCATTATGCAAATCGCGTCTACCAGTTTCATAACACGAGCAGGTGAAATTCTGCCTGACTAGTATCGGCTTGGCATAAAATTAACTGATTCTAAACATGATTCTCGGAATTGGATTGGAAATTTTATAAGTATGTGCTTGATTTGCCATTTCTATATCCAAAATAACCAGCCAAAAATGTACTAGTTCTAGACTGGTCTCGGCCGGGGCTGAGTTTCCTGTCACTTTGAGGATATCTTATAGCTTAATGCCTTACATTAAATGTTTAGCTTTTGGTTCTGTTTCGGTTAGTGATCGCTGAGAGAGATAAAAGCCCAGGGATAAATAGAAGTCCAAGAGGAAAGCTTTAATTACACAGTGTGACTTGTTTGAGGGATCGATGTAAGCTGTCTCGGCATCAGCTTATATTTTTCTTCTTTGTCTTTGCCGCTAATGGAAATATATTTTTGTCAAGTAAATTCACTTTGAGGCAAGCAAAGCAGACGATAAATAACATAAATATATTCGAAGGACTTCACGCACATCTTAAGCTTACCACTAGTACTTGAAGTAAAAAAAATGATAATTACTTTGACTAGATTCGAAAAAATAAACTATAATATGTCATTGTTTAAAAGATTTTTCTGCCATGTTTGTTGAAAAACCCAACGTTGCCTGCTCAATGATATTTTGCTCAGAACACAAACTGTAATTGAGAATAGTTGAGACGCGAAGGACACGTATTTATTCATTAATTCATTTATTAGCTTTGCCAATCCGCAACAGCACGAAATCGATTATTTCTGCGGGTCCTTATCAGATCAGTCCCACCAGGTTCTAGGTCGCCTGCTCTTTCCAGGAAGAGGTGAGGGTTCTTTTCTGCCCCTTTTGAATTGATAATCCAAAGGAAACAAGGCTAACAGTATTGCCTAATAGCGAGATCATCTGAGGTGAACTTAAGATCTTAAACTCCTACGGCCAGCATGTTCTACCAGAGTTTGTCTATAGACCCTGTTTGGTGGTCTGGCCGGGGTTTAAGCCCGCAACATCCCTTTCGCACATGGTCCAGTGGTGACTACGTAACATTGAAGAACTGTGGAAAAATAAAAAAACTACTCAGCAAATTATGTAAGAAACATATCTGAATTTGTACCTCAAATATAGATGCTGCCGCAAATCGTCAAGCCGTGAAAAAGAAATCTTTTTATAAGTTCCAAGCCTGGCATTACAGTGCTGGCGAAGGATAAAGCCTTGAATGAAATATAGTAGACATTTCCTGAACGAATCTAATCACTGCTACGTTGAAATTCGTTAAGTGTCTTTACACAACAATTTAGTTTCACAAAGCCATTCTGTGGGCAAAATATTAAATATTTACTTTACAAAAATAGATTTTCTTGGTCTTCAAAGAATATCGTAGGTTGATGAAATTACCGGTAGTCTGGAAGCTTCCATAGTGAGCTCTTGTAAAAAAAAAAATTATTTAGATAATCTGCGAAAAACCAAGAATTGGATTGTTTTTAAAATCGACAATTATCGCAAACTCTCTCCTTTAAGTTTTCTTGAAAAAGTGCCAAAAGGCTTCAACAGATTCAAAGCAAGCGGTTTCAATATTTATGGTAATTATTCCTATTTTCAAAAGTTATTTCCCTTGTTTCCTTGTCTAGTATGTGTTACATGCATTATTGATGAGATTGAGAAATAAAACCATAGCCGGTTGTAACCGGATCTAGTACAGTTATAGAAAATTATGAACAACTGGTCGAAGTTCTTAAGCCTCATTATTTTACTCGACAACAAACGAACTAAAAATGACCTGGCAATTAGTTTTTCGGCTCGCCAAAAGCAATGTTTTCTCATTTGGATGTTACTGAGTGGTGTCGCCGGCAACATCCTGATTTATTACAAGTCAGTCGTAAAACTGAGTCAGGCATGCTTAGGCATTGAAATGATTAAAACCAGGAGCGCTGTTTACAATCAAAGGTTTTTTCTAAGACTTTTATGATATAGTTTAAAGACTATGCAACTACTGTACATTACATATCGTCTGTGTAAACGTAAGTTGTCTTTATTCATTGCAACAGAAATTCAAAATTTGTTTATATCAAGGTAACTAGTTCATTCACGAGGATAGTGTTTGCTAAGAATTATATTATGATTCATTTTGTGTTGGAAGCATACTTGGTATGCGAGTTCGTCCGTTAAGTTTTGGTAAAACATTGGCATCTAAAAGTTGTTCTTTCAAGTGCTTTGTTATTCTTTTTTAACAAATTAAATTTATAAATAGAGACGAGATTAAGGTCGTGGAAAATTTATTTCTGTTATTACAGAGCACTTTTGAATTTGTTTGACGGCGAAGAAGCTCGAACACGGACTCAATCCGTGCTCGAAAATCTCTCAAGAACGACCATGTCTTTTAGAAGTTCACTTTTCATTGATAAACAACAAAATTGGGCAAAAACTCGAATGGGGGATTTCTGGATTGGCAGAAGGGACTCCCCCTTTTCTGTGAAACCTTGTATTACTTTTAAAGAATTCTCAATAACATAAATAGTACCTATGTAGCCGGTAAGTGTACGTCCCGGCCGCCCTTTTCTGAATTTTCTGGATCGCGCCCCCCGGCCAGTTGTTTCCTGCTAAGACTTATGGACTTTGGATTGCTACATTATGTATGACTGTTTTAAGGACAAAGCGCTTGCACATACGGCTGATTTTTTGTACGATGTTTTCATCTTTTAATGCATTCACCTTGTCTTTCTCTAACAATATGACGATCGCCTGTAAATGGCTGTAAAGTTCATTGTTACCAAGCAAAAACGTCGCGATTAACGACTAGACAACACTATTACAAGATTCGATACAGTCTGGAGTAAAAAAACTTCATTGTTTGTGCGTAAACTACATCATCTGGCTGGTGAAAACGTCTCTCTTGGGCTTACCTTATGATATAGGATCGAAACGGACCAATCATAAATTTCGATGCTTCGGCGAGGTTCGCCAGTCGAATATTCTTATTCCATCAAAGATTCCTTTTATTTGAAAATGTGTATTTCTCAATTTTATTATTTTTTCCAAAAAGTGGGGGTGCGCGGGCCCTGTGATAAAGAAGCGGCTGAAGTCGGCAATTAAATTTGAATACATATCGTGTATGGATACTGGCACGTTCCTCGTATGTATGTTTTGTTTCCAATAGGATGTAATTGTGTTTGACGGCTGTTTTAAGCCTACGCTTTCGCTGTTGAACTGGCACTGCGGAGACAAATAATTCAGAGTAGCAGGTGAAACTGCTTTTATGGTGTGTTGCCTTAGAGACCGGCATCACCCTATCACCATCAGGCGGTCAAACGAGCAAAATATATAATGGCAAAAACGAAGTGCCTCAGTGCTTTAGAGTCCTCATTTTCACTGTTCAAAGTTTAATAATTTACCAAATATGGTGCCAAACAACTATAAACTGTTGGAAATTTACCCCCGAAAGCTATGTATTTGAAACTCATTGCCAAATTGCCGGCGACATTCTACAAAATGAACAGAAACCCGTTATTTAGGAAAAATTGAAACCGGTTTCATCTTAGCAACTAAACAGAAACAAAATAAATAAATAAATACATATTAATAAAGTGAATAATTGAAAAGAAGCCTGACGAGCAGTTTGATCGCGGTGTACTGATGAACATCAAAAGTAACTATTGTAAGATATTTTTTTTTGCGGGTCGATGAAATCTTACTCTTTTATTTTAAAAGCCACTGGGGAACCTAAGGCTTTCTTTCTTAAAACAAATCTATGAAATAAAATTCTAGGGATATGAATTAGGATAGTTGAAAAATAATGTCTACGTGTTCTGTGAATATTAATCATTTCATTAATCAGTTTAATGATCATATCTGTTGTTCCTTGTGGGTTTTGTTTATAGTCTATTATTTAAAAGATTTCCGTTGTCACTATTCAGAGAAGACAACTAAAATTTCCTAATTATATTCAAAAAATTGAAAAAAAATATTCACACGCATGTAGGGAATGTGAATTGTATGGGATAAATCTATATATTATGTTTACGGCAAGAGCTCGTGAGAGTCCAATGTCTTCTTTTTCTTCCTTTTTTCTTACATAAATATTTTTGTTATAAGCAATTATGGCAATTCGAAATTAATATCAGCAGGCCACTCTGTCACATTACACATGTTTCTTTGCACTGAATTAGAATCGCGGAATTAAACTTCACTGAGTCAGCGACAATATTTTTGGTGGTCAGTACGTTGAGGATGGCTGCAAAAATAGAAACAGGTGTTTTTCTTCATCAGTTAAATTCACAAAGTTACTTAGATCTTCGTAGCTGAAGCTGAACTTAAAATTTGGCGAGTGTATTCTAGAAAAACATTCACTTTATAAATATTATGTTTAGATTCAGCTTAACAACTGGTTGCGAAGATTTTTCAGCCTTCAAACATGGCGTATAGCTTGATTAACATCTAAATTAATTCTTACCTATGTTGCCTTAATTTTCTGCTTGTTAGCCGAAGGATTTTGAAATCCCAGCCGACAATGGAACGCATATGTGACTCACAGAAGAGCGGATATCTTCACAAGTCACGTTTTTGCTTATACAAACATTGCGGAAATAGAGCTTTTCGCTAGACCGTATGCAGAAACCTGACGCGCTATTTATGAAGAGGACCACTCGCTAAAGGAAGTAAACGAAACAGACACCAAGAATGAAGGAAGCCCCTTCAACCTGTCAAGTGAAAATTCATGGTGAAGAAAAAGTAGACGAAGGCTTTCAATTTGAATCAATCTCTTGTCTTTTAATCGCCAAAGATAGCAAGCCAAGGCAATGGACAATTCAGCTCATAAAATGGCCATATCCTTTTGGAATCAGTGTAAACTGTTCAAGTAGGTTAGCTAAATATCAACTTGATTACGGTAAGCATTTCGTATTAATTTGTCTCTGGGTCAGCGTTTAACCGAAAGTGAAATTTCTGATGGGAAATTCTGAGGCATACATAAAGTTCATGATATAATAGACCTATTCGGCTAACTCAGAGTTGTACCCAATTCAAATCTCCCAGGGATAAGATTCTTTGTGTATTTCATTTGCATTATAATGTGGCATTCACATTTAAATGATATGGAAATTCCTGAAACAAAACGTTTTATTCCCAAAGGGTTTGAATTGGGTACAACATTGAGTTAGCCGAATAGGTCTATCGACTATCATCTAACAAACAAATAATTTAATTTTAAACGCGAGAAATACACAACAAACCAGCAAACCTAATATGGTTTGTGAAGAAAGCAAGAGTATAAAAACTTTTGATCTGTAGTTATAGAGTAGTGATTAAGGGCGATAACATGAAATCATTTTGGAAATAAGTTCTATGCAGTTGAAAAATTTCTCCAGGAATAGATTATTCAACCAAACTAACGCTTGCATGTCAAACAGTGCTGAGTGTTGCTTAGTTACACATACCAGTTGAATGACGAATTGTAGCGAATGCACGTTGAAAGTGAGATAACTAGGAAAAAATCAACCACCCCAAAAAGATATCTTGACGGTCGTGAAGATGCACGATTTAACTTCTTTAAAACTGTGAAACTTAAAACATTTATTGTAGAACATACGCTATCAACAATAAAAATTTCGGTTGAAGGAAATGAATTTTTCCTCGAATCTCAAATTTATTACCATACCAATCGAATGCGAATGAAATGTTTGGTGCAGGGCGGATAAAGGAGAACGCTCCGCTCTTCATTCAATGTGTGATGCGGAGTAGGACTGGCACGAGCGCTTTTCCGCGCTTCCGGTGCGCTTGAAGGACGGCGAAATTGTCGTTTTTGCAAACCGGAAATCCTATTTTCTTTCTGTGATTTCAGGCTACAGTGTTAAATAGATAAATCCGTTTCATAACAATATTAATAAGCAGTTTCATATGTTTATGTCTTTATGCCTTTAAGTCAAACTTGTTGGTCGTATAATGCCAGAATTTGAGTTTAATTTGAAAGTGTTGAATGCCTCCTCCTTCTACTAATTATGACCTAATCGTCGTTCGCCGTTTCTTTTGCAAAAGCTGAACACTTCTTAACCTTGATCTTTACCCATATTAAAGGGGGATAAATTTTGTGTAACATAACAAAAAATTAGCTGGATATATTTGGATATAGTGGCGTTGTACTTCATCAAACTTTGCTTTTCGGTCGTGTGCAACGCGCCACGGCGATTCGTGCAATGCGTCGTAAATCCAGCAACCGCATGTAAACAAAATTTATTGAGGTTAATTGTAAGGTTTTTTCTCCGTTTTTCTCTCTAAAACAAAACAAAGTGAACTGTAAAAACTGAGGGGAAGCTAATTTTGAAGTTCCGAAGAAACAGAAAGACGTATGAGATGTTTTTTTCAAAATTAAAACGAAAGATGATTGTCATTGAAATTAGCATAATTACACCTTGCATGAGCTGCACGCATCTATAAAATACATGTCATCTAGTTATGAAACATGCACACCATCTGCTGTCTTTTAGTTTTGATGTGGATGACATGAGATTTTCCTTCGTGTTTTTGACAGTATTTTGTTCTTTTTGTTTCCGAATAACATCGACATTGGCGAGTAATAGAACAAAAAAATTGATTCAATGGTAGAGTCACGGAAGTAACCAGAGAAACCATTTGAAAGAGATGTTTGTCTACTCCAAATAAACTTCTCGCAAAAAATTAGCAACATTTTCCTCTCAGAGACAGTGTACCAGCACAAAGGAACGAGGAAGAAGTGCAAGGAAACATCTCAAACCTCCATGATTCATTGACAGTGGCAGTGTCTAATAGCCAAACCACATCGCAAGCCCTGACCACGTGTCGTTTGCAACTGCGACCACTTTTTGGGGGCGATGGTTTTAGAGTTTCTCAATTGCATGTGACGCTTGTAAGCGATCACGTGACGTATGCTCACTGAATGTAATACAATGCTCATAGTACGCGAAGAACTTTATGGTGACATGAACCCACACATACCCTTTAGAACTAGTTAGGTGCAATGAATTCTTTTCCACATTGTAGATGCGTTCGGACCTTTCCTCGCCCGAAGAGACCTAAAACCACCCCACGTCGCCTCCCCACCAAAACTAACATTTAATCTTCGCACTTTTGGGTGGTCGCTTACAGGAAGTTCGACTGTATCGGAACTACCTGTGATTTTGTAATTGTTTATCTGTGAATGAGTTGACTTCTTAACTTTTCCCTTCTTAATGGTTATTTAACAATTATTCCTTGAGCCCGAATGGGCTATTGACTCAGGGGCCATAAGGGCGAGAGGTATAATTATTTTTAGTAAAATTCAACTAGTTGGTCAAAAATATCGAGACAAAACAACTTTAGCTAGAAAAACGCGTTGCAGCCGCTATTCTTTTGGTTTTCAAAGCCGGCGCTTTTCGCTACTAGTGGGCTATAACATATAACCCAGTAGTAGCTCAACCAATCAGAACACAGCATTGATAATAGACCACTAGTTGGATTTTACTAATCACAAATTAGTCATGAAAACCTTATAGGCCATTTTGAGTTGATAAAGTTGCTTGCTCTCGTTTGTAGAGAGATTAGGAAACAGTTTTGTGCGTTTTTGAATCCTTAACATTGTTGAACATGGTTTGAACGAATCAGCATGTTTGTTATCTTCATAAATTGCGTCACATTAGCCATGTACAATCCGCTGGACAAACAGTGTGTCACAACCAGGTGTCAAGTGCTTGAGAACATCGAACATTTTGTCTTCGCTTTCTTTGTTGCTGAAATGATGATTAAGATGGTGGCAATGGGAGTTATCGGCAAAAAAGGCTACCTCCAAGATAATTGGAACAGACTCGATTGCTTTATTGTCGTTATTGGGTAAGAGCTATAAATCAACTTTATCATAAAAATAATTTTCCACACGTTTTGATTGGTCTAGAGATCATTACCTCACCAGCAGACTATAACAATAGGAAAATTAAGTTTGTCAGTCTTAAACAAAGTTGTGCTAGTGCTCACTTTGGTGCATGCCTTTGGAGGAAAATGATACTTTCGTCTTTTTGCTTACTTGGGTTATAAGGCAAACAAGTATACTGGTTAAATGATCAATCAATTATCGTATCGCAAAATATTATGAGTTTTAATTCCCTCGGCAGATTATCTGAAGATGCCGAGGGCAGAGGCAGATATTTGAGCTACTCACTACCACTAACATATCGTGATATTTTATTTTTCGACTTCGCCAAGAGAACACATTAGGGCCATTTATACGAGGAAAAATAAGACGCGTCTTACATAAGACGCGAACTGTACCATTTATACGAGCATGTCTTATCTAATAAGACGCGTCTTAGCTAAGCCGCGTCTTATTTTAGACGAATTGTGCGCGTCTTACATAAGACGCGTCTTATTTTTCCTCGTATAAATGGCCCTATTGATAAGCAACGGGGCTTTTGCTGACATGGCTAACTTTGGAAATTGGTATAAGGTAGTTAATTGATTAATGCGATAAGTCAATGGATTTTCGTTCAAAGCAAAATACATTTTCTACTAAAAAATTTCCTGCTACGCTAGAAAACCAGCACTACTTACGATTAACTTAATTCGCGGCACAAACAATTGAGGACAAAACCCTCTCTTCTTCTCTTAAATTAGTCTTTCTTGGTTCGTAACGGCGGAAGTTTCACCTCTTCATACTACGTTTTTCATGGGAAAATAGACATTTTTAGTTAAGACAATGGGGGACAGGTTAGCGTGGAAATTGCTTAACCCCAATAGGAGAGGAAAAGAAAGCCCATATTGAAAAATGTATGGCATCAAATTGGATTCATTACTTTATCAATCATCATAGTGATTAAGAGCACCTATTTACTTATTTTTTTAGCTTTATTGAGAAAGCAGTCCAACGCGGTAACTATCTGACCATTATACGGGCTTTCAGAGTTTTGAGGCCACTTCGCGCAATCAACAAAGTTCCAAGTAAGTATATGCATAAATTCTTAATTGTGGTCGACCAGTGGTTTAACCTCTTCTCAGGGCCTCATAAGGTTTATCTGTTGCTTCGTGACAACTCTTCTTGAATTTAAATTAAATGGTCAAAGCAGCATAGGTCATGCATGTATAATGGCATCTCGTCTTCAGTACATACCACCTCCTATACTGCCAATTTAAAGGTTTTTTCACGAGACTGGGTCAGACTGGGTGTTCTTTGTTAGCGTTGCGTCGAATACCTTTGTGGATATGGTTTTCATGACATATTTTGACCCAGCCTTTCCCTTGTAACCTCGTAATCAATTATTGTAATAGCCATCAAAACAGTCCCATAGCGCAATGCGACACAATCATGACCTAGCCTCCTCATGCACAATCTGCAAATGGTCTATACGGCCTTACTGCTACATTCCACGGGTTCAAGAAAACATTATGAGTGGTCACATGACCGAGGTCTGACAAGTATCTACTGTGTTGTGTTTTATTAATTGTTTACTGATTCCTTTTGTATGTAATTCTGAATTGCAGGCATTCGTATTTTAGTGACGCTTCTCTTGGACACACTCCCAATGCTAGGCAACGTACTGATGTTATCTTTTCTGATATTCTTCGTCTTCGGTATCATTGGCGTACAGTTGTGGCAGGGAAAACTGAGAAACCGCTGCTTTACAAACTTGAATGAGAGTTCAATGTTCTTCACCAGGTATTCACACAGTAGCATCATTTCCTGTTCAAAACGAACCAGGGACCCGTTTCTCGAAAGCCCTTATGACTTTCCCGGTCCAAAACCAAACATTCAAGTCAAAATGCAAATATTAGAGAGTTTTAGATCCGAGTTACCCGCGAACCTCTAACCGCGGTTTGCGGTTACCCGTTTGCGGTTACCCGTTTGCAGTTCGACATTCAAATATAATTCGATTTAGATTGGCGGTGGATTAGATTGGGGCCGCCATTTTGAATAAGCAGCCATGAATGGCACTTGTTTTCAAGATCCAATAGGATTTATCAAGTTTAGCATTTCGCCCGAATTTGTGCCTCTGTTAAAGAATAAAGACTTGCTCCACAAGATTTTTGTATCACTACGTGGGATAAAACAATAATTACACGCTAAAAGCTTTCAGGTAAATGACATACGTGAAAGCCTACCTCCCCACGTTGAAAACGCACGTCGTAAACCTCAAACGTGACGCGAAAGACTTGTCACGTGACCTCCAGCGGTTAGAGGTTAGCGGTAAACTCGAATCTAAAACTCTCCATTAAAAGCGCGGGTCCTAACTAACAAACCAGCCTATTTATTTGTTAACTGGTAGTTCTATCATGTTATCGGGAAAACTATTTGAACCTCACTTTTAATTGTAAACAACAACAGATTTCGGGGCCTCGTTAATTAACTATTGTCGGGACTTTCGAGAAACGGGCCCCAGGCGAGGATCCAAGAAAATTGAAATTATAAAAAAAAAAAAAGAAAATTGAAATTCAATGGGACTGTTTGTTGATTACTCGAGGGGCGAAGCAGTGTATTTGTGGGGATCGGATCATGAGCTATATCGACCCCCGAAAATTCGTTAACTTAACGTTTGCTGAACTATTTGAGCCACTTTTCAATTTTTACCCTCAACGTACTTTTTAACATTAACCGTACGATTAAAAGAGGCTTTCATACTTGACTGATAGCCTATTTTTTAAGTCTTGAAATGCTCTGATACTAACGATTCTAAGTGGCTTGTAATTTAGTTATGAATGACCCCTAAAGTTGCTGTTTCATGCCTTCAGATATAACCAGTCAAAATATTATGTGCCGTCCTTCACCAGTCCAGATTTCGTCTGCTCTCTACCAGCAGACCATGGCACTAGCAAGTGCTCCGATATTGATCCGTATTATCAGAACAAGAAAGAATGTAACGCTTCTTTTGATAATAACTATGCTGGAAATAACTCACTGTGCGTGAATTGGAACAAGTACTATGGTACCTGCCAACCTGATGGACCTAATCCGTTCTATGACACTACATCGTTTGATAACATTGGTATTGCATGGATTGCCATATTTCAGGTAAATAACGTTCTCTACTATTGCCAATGTTCATTATTTGCACTGTCTAGTAAACAATAAGGCGTGTTGTGGGATGGTTACAAGTCGTTTCGATACACTCGCCGTTTTTGATACAAGTTAATTCGACCAAATTTGTTCTGTAGAGTTGACAATAGCTCCACGTACTTGGCTTAATGAACGAAGAATGGCTCACCCAATCCAAAATTTTTTCTTGAGCATGCGCAAACTATACTTCCAGCGAAAGAAATTTTTGTGCAATTTCACCGGTTGAGTTCATATCGAAACGAGTTGTATCGAAAAAGACCTTGTATTGAAACGAACGGTTTCCTGTGGGATAAGATGGAGCCCAGTACTTCAGCTGATCTCAGTCTTGTTGACAAGAAATACCTTGAAAAGGATTTTAACCCATCACGGTGTTTAAGCCAGCGGCATCAATGTCACAGGATTCCCACTTATACCCTGTTGAGGAAAGCCAAAGGACAGCAAATCTCTAGCTTAAGGAGACAACAAGACTGAAAAGTCAAGGTTCCAGCTCGACGCTGACTTATTCCAGGCTCCAAAGTAATGAGGAAGGAGAATCGAGAAAAGTTGCGGGAAAACCGCGTGGGGCTGGGGAGAGACAGAGTAGTAGAGCTTATAAGCATTGTTTTAAGAGAGCTTTAGCATCGACGACTGAGACGTTAGCGAAAACACAACGTCACTTTTAAAATAAATTCGCATTTTTTCAAACTTTGTCGCGTTTATTCCACTTAGCTGAAATATAAATGTAGGCGAGTTTTTCCCAGGAGTTGATTTCTTGGGTATCCCACTAAAAGTTAGAGAGAGAAAGAAAAATTCGTCGTGGTTTGTTTGCATCCTCCATAAAACGTGAAAGTAGGCATTTTCACGCCGTTTTCGTCCAGCCAATGGCAAAGAAATGTACAAAAAAGCGTGATTCACGTGCAAAGTTATTGTTTTGCTTAATAAATCTATTGCTCTTCCCAGCGCCATCGTCGTTGCTAAAGCTCCCTAATACCTCATGCCGATACACCAGCTCCTGGTACACACCCTGCGATTGGTCAATTGGAACAGTTTACTTCAACATTTACGTCATTCATTTGTTTTCGCGCACGCAGAGTCTAACAAACATCTCAAGCATGTGAAACACCGCGCAGGATTAGCTCAGGCGGTAGAGCGCTTGACTGCAGAGCGGTATCGGTCGCGGGTTCGATTCCTGGGGCCGGACCAATACCCAGGGTCTTAAAATAACTGAGAAATAAAGGTACTGCCTTGCCCTGCAAATGCCTAGACCTTCGCGCGTGGCTCGGATGACCACGTAAAATGGCGGTCCCATCTCCGGTAGGAGACGTAAAAATAGTGTCCCCAATGGGTACTTTCGTGCTAAATACATTGACACTCAATTAAGGTGTATTTTTTTGTCGTATTGACATTTGACATTCTGACATGATAAACGGTTTTTCAGGAAGTGAGCGGGGTAGTAGTCGGATTGAGGTATTTGAAAAGATGATTACAGGCTCTTGATACCCTTTCTCTTCTTGCTGTTTTTCGCTTGTTCGCTATTTTACTGCTCGTCCTTACCGACTGAGAGCTTAGCATAGGCTACTAGCTCGATGCGCTAACAACTACTGTTTTAAAACCGGGAGCTCTTCCCCCGATTATGGCTCCTGATAAAACTTAAGTTCATCCATGCGCATATTGACATTACCTGAACTCAAATAATGGGATTAGTTTGTCTGTGAAGATGAACTAAATAGGACCATTTTTCTTAGAACAGTATGTGCAAGCACCAACTGGAGAAGAAAATAATAATAAATACAGAAACTTTTATTTTAAACAGGTTATTACCCTCGAAGGTTGGTCAGATATCATGTATTTTGTTCAAGATTCTCACAGCTTCTGGAACTGGATTTACTTTGTTGTGCTGATAGTGGTGAGTTAACAGCTGTTTATACATATGCCCTGTTTAGTTTCATCAGCACTTAGCTGGTGCCTAAGATTTTGTCAATATGATTTCAAAAGATCATGTGTTAACGCTTTGACTTTGCAAGAACCGTGTTGTGTTATCACATGAATTGTAATAACTCGAACATATATAGAAGAGATTATCATGTTTTTCAACCTTGAGAGGGGAGGGGTTGACATAAAGAAAACATTCTATGATTTTATCGATGTTAATGTAGTCCACCGCAATTTGGAGAGATTTCACTGCACAATACAGGTCTAAAATATACCAACTATACTTCTTTGGTGTGATTTAAGGGGATATATTATCTATATCTTTCAGTGTATGGTCAGTTACTGATGTTATCACATCTGGCTTTGTTATTTGATAGATGGGTTCATTCTTCCTCGTGAACTTGTGCTTAGTGGTGATCACAATGCAGTTCCAAGAAACAAAGGCACGTGAGATAGAGTTAATGGAGCATAGTAAAAAAGAGACTGGGTTCCACCACCCATCGTCACTGATGTCGTTTGTCAAGTTTCTTCAAAACTTATGCAAATGCGCCTCTAAAGATAAAGAACCTCAAGTTCATCACCATCATCACCATTTTTTTCATCATCACCACTTTCATCACCATTTGTACAACTGTTTTGTGCCGGCTTCTCCGGTGATGCTTTCTAACGTGCGAAATGTTTCTGATCTGGCTCTTTCATCGGAAATACCAGAAATAAAGGTCCAAGAAGAAGGAGAACAAGAGGTATCATTTCCTCCATTGTCCGAGGAGTTTAATGTGTATCAAAAATGTCTAACTTCGACTCATGAACAAGCTTCTCGAAGAAGTTCAAGAACTTCCACGTGCTCACATACGTTATCAATACATGCCGAAACAGCATCAGCCGTTTCTTTCGAAGACATCATGGCGGAAACGAAGACAAGTGTAACTTTAAACATTCCCTCACCGACCGCCACTGTGGGCTTCTTTGCATTTGCGTCGAGTAACAGTAGCCCTAGAATGAGGAAAAATCCTAACATCGATAAAGCCGAACATTCTACATCCACAACCGTTTCAGCGGAAATAAACCCACAATATTCCAGCGTTAACTTTGGAAAACAAGATGAGCCCAAAATGGAACTAAAGGTCGAAAAGAAGTCATCGCTTCGTCGTAACGATAAAGATGCATCAAAAAAGCGGCGCTTTAGCCAGCCAGTTCACGTGAAGTTGGATTGCACTCCAACTCCTGTTATCTCAACGTACAGGCCCTCAGAAATAGTTAACGAGGACATAGACCCTGATAATTCTATTGAGGTTGGAGCAAATCCTGTCAAACTAGAAGTAGAGGGTTTTTCAACTTCTCCTAAACATAATTTACAGAGCAGTGACCTTTCTTTTCAAGAAATCTCTTCAAATAAGGGGCTGGAAGATGATATCAAACCAGTTACTGCCCCCCTAAAAAAACCATCACTATCTCACCGTAGTATCTCTACACAGAGTGAAGACGATATGTTTGAAAGTCTTTTTAACTTACGCCAAAGCGCCTCGTATGATGTTACAACGAATCATGGCATTTGGCAGAAGTTCAGAGGTCTTTGCCGAAAAATTACTGTTAGCAAGCAGTTCACATTCTTCATCATGAGTGTTATTCTACTGAACATGATCTGCATGGGCCTTGAACATTACAATCAGGTATGCATTAAGTACTTTTCAAGATTATAGTGGTTTACAAGAAGTCGAGACCATAATAGGCAGATTTATAGCAGGGAAAACATTAGCCTGAGAAAACAGTCGACATTTCGCGACGCCGCCACTTGTTTCCCAGCGAGATGAGTTGTCACTACCCAGATCTGTGTAGTGCTACCAATCAACCAAGTTTAGTTGTCTCAGTTTTCTGTGGTTTCTGGAGTGATTGAGAGCGATTCTAGTAAATTAAAGTTCCATTGCTTTCCTAAGATATATCCACTAAAGAGGAAGCAACTTAATTAATAGCCCTCCTAGTCACATAAAACAAGTCAACAGGCAGAGAAGCTTAGGTAGGAAGTAGTTTTTGTTATTTTTGAATCCAAGTAGCAGTAGTAGTTCTTTTCCACGTACGACCAAAATTATAAAATAGAGCACTCTAATTCATGCATGCCAGTGCAGTGGATGCTAAGATTCTTTACATCTAGGATAAAGGGTCTTACTTGTGATCACAGACCCTCCCTTATAATTTTGCTGTTACCATACTGTTGCCATGACGCCCAAATTACAACAACCACAAAACGCTGAAAAGAAGTCACTACTTGTGCTTTATCTCTGATGTTTTCTATCGCAGCCTGATAGTCTAACTGTTGCCCTGGAGACCACAAACATAATTTTCGTATCCATTTTTGGGATTGAGATGATACTAAAGCTACTGGGAGATGGAGTGACTATGTATCTTAACAACGGACAAAATGTGTTTGATGGAGTAATTGTCATTGTAAGGTAGGAATGCTATGTCTCGAGAAGTTGATTGTAATCACTGCGCTACGAGAATGGATAGGTAATTAAATATTGATTTATTTCCCTTAATGGAAAGCCTCACTGACTCAAGTACTGGTAACTTCAAAAATAATGACAAATCTTGTCATTATCTTACAATCTATTTCTATACATTGAACTCACTATCTGTCTTCTCATTGGCTAAGAAGAAGAGCCTACAGCTAATTTTGGAAACAAGCGCAACCTACAGATTCGTTAGTTATCTGGTAGCAGATAATTGACTAATCTGTAGGTTGCGCGTGCAATGCATGATTTCCAATAACAATATCAATTCAGGTTTCTTGCGACGGTGTGTTTGTCGTTATTTTCTTCAAAACAATGTATTATAGAACAATTATTAGATTCGGTTTTTGTGATATCCTAAATAATCAAGGTCTCGGTAAGTGTTATCAGCCTCGGCCTTCGGCTCGGCTGATAACACTTACCTCGACTTTGATTATTTAGGATATCACAAAAACCTCATCCACTAAATGATTGTTTATTATTGGTTTTCTCTGCTAAGTAATTGTTATCAAGATGTTGGCACTTGACCAATTATTCACCATTGATTGGTTGAAGCTAGAGTAGTGATTTTCAGCTACTCATACCTCAAAATGTCAGATTTTTAAGGTATTATAAAAATATCTATACCACTATTTCAAATTTAATATAATTACGAGGTAAAAACCCACTAGGCGGGAGGTGAAACAGTTCAGTTTTGGTCCGCCTATTTTCTTTCAAGGCTATTAATAGTAAATAATTTTGATTAGCTGGCTATTGATAAGCATGGCCGAGTTGAACTCTTGATGACCGAGAGCAACTCCTTAAAAGAGAGGGTTTGAACCCAGATGACTCGGTTTAAATTCAGGGCCCTAAGCTGGCACCCTGTCATAATTTAATAACCGCACCATCTCCTTTTAAATTTCAGTGTCTGCGAGATACTTCTTTCCAAAGGGAATTCCGCCCTATCAGTGTTTCGTAGCATCAGACTTCTCCGCATTTTCAAACTTGTCAGACCAGTTCGATACCAGTTACTCGTGGTTATTAAAACCATGACTAGTGTGATGACCTTTTTTGGCCTGCTTTTCCTATTCATATTTGCATTTGCAATCCTTGGTATGAATTTATTTGGTGGAAAATTTGAATTCAAGGACGCTGAAGGAGAGCTTGTCACCTCCAGGAGTAATTTTGATGACTTCCTTTGGGCAATGGTAACTGTGTTTCAGGTATGCCTTCGGTTATCGTGTCAAGCATAATTTTTATCCATCAGGCCCCGGTTGTTCAAAGATGGATAACGTTATGCACCGGATAAATTACTATCCAGTGGATAAATATTGGGGAAACCAATTGCACTATCCACTGGATAGTGATTTATCCGATGGATAGCGTTATATACCTTTTGAACAACTGGGGCCTGGTGCGGTCAGTCCGCATCGAGCGTTAGGTTAAATGTTCGCTTAACTGATTGTGTAAATTTTACTACTTCTCCGTTGCTATCCGCTACTGATTAGTAGATGCCACCAAAAAATAAACGCAAAAGTATTATTTTATGTAGAAACTCCGATTCCCTTAGTATAGGTAGCAAAAACGATTCATATATATATAATTTTTTGAAAAATTTGGTGATCAATGAACCTTGGATCAAAATCAGAAATTATTCTACCTTTCCAACTCCCTCTTTTTCTAACGAATAAAAAGTTATTAAAATTGATTTGAAGAAAAACGTACGCATCAGGGGATGCCTACGTTGTTTCGATCAAACCTTGTAACTCACTCACTCACTCACTCACTCACTCACTCACTCACTCTCTTTAGCGTCTTTTTAAAAAACATTACAGTTTTCTCTGAGTCTTCATACTAAAACCGTGAATTTTCCGTAACATAGATCCTTACCCAGGAGAACTGGAATCGAGTAATGTATGATGGCATGCGCAGTACAAACAAGTGGGCAGCGCTTTACTTTACGACCCTGATGGCTGTTGGGTATTACGTGTTGTTTAACCTACTCGTGGCAATACTGGTGGAAGGATTCACAAACTCTGGGGTAAGCATGCATGCCCTGGGTAATTTTCCAGGGTTCATTTATGTGCAATGCTTTAATTAACCTGAAAATTAAAATATCCCAAGTTACAGCTCACAAAAAAGAACGTACTTCTTAAGAGCAACAACATAGGATTAAACCTTCATCAGTTGGGGGAAAGGGTTGTGCCTGTAACTGAAAGGTTCAGGCGAGAAAATTTATTAAGTTTCCTCAAGGAGAGCAGAAACGAGAATGGACAATGACTATCAATTTGCGCCTTGTGCAACCAGTTCACTATTAACAAAGGAAAACGCCTCTGCGTATTGTCATATTTTTTCACTCACTACCTGTTCTGAACGTTTTTTTAATCCTCTAGAAAGAAAATCTCCCTCTAAAGAGTGAAAGAAAAATGGAAAACCCTGATTCTAATTCAGAGACGATTAACAAGCCCCATATAGTAATCTCTTATTGCGATTCAAACGAGTCTTGTCCCGGGAGCTGTTGTCAAGAGGCCAAGCCCGAATTTTGCGGTCACGGAGTACGCAACGCTCTAGGTATGTAGCATAAATTGTTAGGGCTAACAAAGAGCTTTTGAAAATTGTGCTTATATGTCTGTGGGTGTTGGTTGCAACTAACAAAATGGAAAGAGAAATTTTGACGAACGAGGGCCTGGCTCTGACAATAGGGTCTGGAAGGGTATTTTCGGGATTTGCGATTTAACCAAAATGCGGTGCTGGATTCGAGAAAAGGAAAAATATCTTTACGGGAAGCGGGATCTTACAGCTACTCGGGAATTATGTTGAGAATTCGGGAAATAATACGTTTGAGCAGCAAACTAAGTGGGGTCTCCTTTCACACCAGGAATCGATTACCGGTTCAAACTTAACTATAGAGTATGAGCTAGTATGCCTTGTTAATTATTTTTTTATTATTATTATTGTTATTCAGTATTGTTTTCGGAAACAAAAAAGGAATTCGGGAAAGCGATCAAGAAAAGTGCGGGGTGTAGGATTTTCGTAAAGAAGGAGCGAGATTTCGGGATCAGGCCCTTCCCCCCCCTTTCAGAAATTCAACTTTCCTTATTAGAAAACAAATGGTAAGAAACGTAAAGAAACAAACAAAAATTAATATTATAGTCAGTCTTCAACTAAAGGTTAAGTTTCATTTGCGTTAAATATCCCTTCTTGCAGGAACAACATTCCAGTTGAAGTCCAACTTTGCGCCAAATCTAACCTTAGTAAATCAGGAACCCAAAGAAGGTACAAACAAAAAGCGAGTCGATGATTTGTCCTATCAACCACAAGACACCTCGCTGACATTACCACAGTTGAAGCGAATGCGACAGGCCTCGATGTCGATCATCAGACGAACAGGACACACGAACCAAAGGATAGCGGATCACGAAATCTCCGCCAATAATTCGGGCTTTGAAATGAACGATAATTTAGAAAAGGATCTTGACATTTGTGAAACGAAACGAAATGAAGAGGCTTTGTCAACGAGAACATTTGAATTCAAGCCAGAAATGGCTGATTCTCCCGTTATTAAAGCAAGCAATAGTGCGGGTATCGACACGACTGAACGTCTTCGCAAGTCAGAGACGTCGTCATCTCCCACTGGAATACAGTCATACCAAATAGGTTTCCACAACACCCTTAGGGATGATGATATTTATCAACAGCGTGAAAGATACGCTCCTGAAAGTAAGGTAATGCTAAGTTAAAAGAGCGATGTTTGACAACGGCATGTCAAAACAGATTCCTCGCTTACCCTGAGCAGAACGGCTATGGGCCGGGGAGGGGGGGAGGGAATTCCTTAATTAGTCCCGGCATTTGATAACGGTTTGCTATGCGTAACTGATTAAAACACCAAGTCAAGGTTTGCTCAATATCGTAATTAAATTTCCCAAGAGAATTTCTGGTTCTTTGTGTGGGTAAAAATCAGCCATATATTCAGTAGTCTCGTACATGTATGATAAGCAGCTTTTAATTCAAAAAATGTAACTAAAATGCAATTTGTAACTCTGAATAAATCTCCATCTTTGATATTTTTCTAAATTCAAAGCCGAAGAAGGAAAAAGACCCAAGTATTGGACAGCAACGAAGGGATTGGTCCTTGTATCTTTTTCCAGCCTCTAGCAGGTACGATTGTGTAAAAAATGTTCCATGTTGGGAATTGTTCACAGAGTAACATGCTCAATAATATGTCGATGAAAAACTGTGAAAACTAAAAAAAATTCATCGTTAAATACCTTTTTCTAATATTATGCCGTGAAGATGTCATCATCATTATATTATCATCATCTGGAATAGAAACCGGAAGGTCATAGTTTCAACTCCTATTAGGAGAACTCGGATTTTTTCGTTCGTGCCGCCTGTGCCCTGACCGAAAAAAAAATCATCTCATCATCATCATCATAATCATAATTATCATCATCATCATCATCATCATCATCATCATCATCATGAAGATCATTACCATTTGACAAAGTAGGTTATATATAAAGTGTAACTTGAAAGCTTACGTAAACCTGATACAGCATTACATATCTAGCCGATTTTTTGAAAAGCAACCTAACAAAATTTGCAGTCATTTGAGTGAAAAGGCGTCAAAAGGCAGGTTTCTTAATTCCGAGAAACTCCAAAATCACGTTAACAAAGGAAAAGGAAAGGAGAAAAAGAAAGAGCGAGGAGAAGAGAAAAAAGCAATGGGTACACTCTTAGTTTTTATAATGGCTACCTTGGAGAAAGGTTTTGGCCGAAAAAAACTGTTGAACGCAAACGGTCCATTTGGCGGTATCCGGCTAGATATTCACAGACACAGAAGATAGACCACCCACCGCGGTCTACACCCCTTACTCTTTACGAACAGATTTTAGCATGAGTAAGGGATGTGATATTTTATACGGAGCCTACGATTTATTGTCTAGGGGGCAAGAAGATTAGAACTCTAACCGTTTGCAGATGTCACTACAAAATAAACACTTCAATTTGTCCGGTCGGGGTTTAAACCCGCGGCCCATCTCTCGTAGACCAGTGGCAACAGGATGACAGTAGATCGTTGAACTGTACAAACTTTTTAGTATTATTGAACAGCTTTTTTACCATGGTTTTAAAGATTTGATTTGCTACTGTTTCTATTTTTTCTGCCAGGTTTCGTTGTTTTCTGATTGCAGTCTGTGAACACAAATACTTTGACTACGTGGTTCTGTTGTTTATTCTAACAAGCTGCGTGGCCCTGGCACTAGAAGAGCCGAACATGCATCCAAAGGTAGAGGGACATATATCTCAATTTGCTTTCAGAAGCCGCCTAGTTCACATTTCCCTATAATATAATTCCTGGCTTTTTATCATTTTATAGCAAAAATGGTCACATCTCAATCTCTTGTTTGTGTGCATGTGTAAAATCATATCTATGACAGCAAAATTAGTTAAAAAATGAACTGATGAGGTCGGTAATTTTGCCTTCAGAGTTCGCGGCAGACTTTGCTAGTCACTGATAGCTTCAATCGCAAAGCTCAGCTTTTTTGGCTCCTTTTATATTCACAGAAACGCCAAATAATTGACATCGCGATGGTTGTGCTGACCGGAATTTTCAGTGTTGAAATGACCATGAAGGTAAATTGATCTTACTAAATGAGTTGTTTTGATTTCGCTATTAGTAATAAACTGCCGTGTTCGACCTCCACTATGGCATACTGAAACTAAAACCATGCACAATATTTTAAGCAGAGGATGATTCAGTAAGAACTTAGAGCACTGAAAGGTTTCATCTTTCTCAAGGTAGCTCAAGGTCCAGATAACTTACTCAACAACCTACATTGATGCATTTATGCCTCTATTATTCTTTCAGTTTAATATTTATTGTGCACGATTTCATGCACCAGGCTCGACCGCTTGCGGCTACAAAACATCCAATTCCATTGTTTCTTTAATGCTTCTTTCGAAGCCTTTATATACGCGAATTACCCATTTATATCAATTGCATATATTTTGGATACTCTTAACTGGCCAAAATATGCGCCATGAATAAGTCTAAAAACTTTTTTATAGTTGACTTTTTGAGCTTTGAAAGAAGTATAAAGGGTTTATATAAATAAATTAACGTCAAGAATGACGCTTTCAGTATTGCCACTCGCCATCACAAAATGAAGAAGACGAAAATAATGAGCTGAGAAAGAAGGAGACAAGCATAAAAAAGCCTCCTTCCTCTACTTGATTTGTACTAGATGAAATGATCGCCTGGGTAAAAATTTGAAGACATATCTTTGCAAGCAGAGCACCTTATTAATTCCATTGAAAAATGAGTTGTAAAGATAGGAAAAAAGGGAGCCTATAGAAAGCTCCATACAGTAATGATAGAGATTACCACTCACAAGTGATCTGTTCATTACAGATTGTCGCTCATGGTCTTGTTATTGGTCCTGGATCTTACCTGAAGGACGGATGGAATGTTCTGGATGGGAGCCTTGTGTTGGTCTCCTGGATTGATGTCATCATTACCTACAGCACTGCTTCTGCGCCGGAAGTGCTTGGAGCCTTGAAAGTCTTCCGGGCATTGAGAACCCTTAGACCGTTGAGGTAGGTCTACCAACCGAACCTTTTGTTGACATAAAGGGTCAATGAATCAATCAATTAATCAGTCAATCCATCGATCAATCAATCAATCAATCAATCAATCAATCAATCAATCAATCAATCAATCAATCAATCAATCAGTCAATCAACAACCAATCAATCAGTCAGTCAGTCAGTCAATTAATCAATAAGAACTTTATTAAAGTGTCAAACGCCTAGCACACTATGAGTGGTGCAATAATCGGAGACACTTAGACTCAAACGCGTAAACCATGTTTGATTCGGAAAAACACTAGTCTATACGTCGTGTCAGAGTTTTATGGATTCAAATCTACTTCTTGGCCCTCTTTTAAAGTTAGTGATTAATAAAATTAGTCGGTGTGACAACTCCCTTGCAGCCATTAACATAATCTTTATCAATGTAGGATGATTCGCCGTGCCCAAGGTTTAAAGTTGGTCGTTCAGACTTTGTTGTACTCGCTGAAGCCGATTGGAAACACTGTTCTGATAGCAGCTATTTTCTTCGTTATGTTTGCAATACTTGGAGTACAGGTACGTTCTTTCTTCTTTTAATTTCCCCTTCCTCTTTGATACCGGATTAAACTCTAAGTTAACGTTTAGGGGGCCATTCCTATAAAGTTCAACAGCAATTTACTGCAACCATTTTTCACAGAAAAGTACACCATGTCTCCACTTGTAGGCATTAAATCTATGTGCAATGTGAATAAAGTCGAACCTCCAATGACGGTCACCTCTCTACAACTTCTCTTTATCCAGGAGGACAGTCCATACATTGAATCTTGTTTAAAACTCGTTACAAAGGCATAAAGCTATGTGGATGATCTTTTCTGCTATATTGAAACTATTTATTTGTATACATTGTTGTCATACCATTTATACATTTTTGTTAGCCTTAAACCCCCTTAAAACAGTTTATAATTAATAAAAAAGGCCACTCTATGACGAGCATTATTCGTATGTGCTTACAGCGATATTCTTAAAGATTTCAGTCAAAATACCTTTTCACTGGCCCCCTAAATAAATTCCTGAGATAAATATATTCGAGAATAATAAAGCTTTGACAGTTGTCTAAGTAGGATTGTTCTCGTTCCATGCTACCGAGTGTAACGTATCGTCAAGGTTACTTCATAATACCAAACATACGCCATCTTGAATCTCTTAAGTTTCATGAGGAACGTTAACTGTGTTAGCCAAATGACAATATACGGAGGATAATTTGCCTTTTGCTGACATTAAAATGTAACTGGTTCAACCTTTCAGATTTTCAAGGGCACCTTTCATTATTGTGAAGGAAACAGCCGCGTTAAAAACAAGAAAGAATGTTTGAAGAGTAGTAACGGTCACTGGGAAAATCATATGTACAATTTTGACAACTTACCTCAGGTAAATCTGAATTCCATAGGTTCGATATAATTGTTTAATTTGAACGAAATTTTGATTATCGGTAGCGTTCCTAATACCTTTAAAGGGTGGTTCATGCTGTGGTGATTCTTTAAGTCAGCTATCTGTATAGGTATATGAATATTATGTTCCTGTCTTGCTCTGTCTTTGGGGTCGACCTATTCATGTACTTTGCAATAGGAATGATCATGCCATTCCTCTTTTTATTGATGCAAATATCCTGCCAATTTGCCTTCTCTATTTTAAGTCCGTATCTTACCTAATGCATGATATTCATATTAATACTGCGCCCTCACAATCCAGAAGACATCATAGCTATTCATGCTTATGAGACAAGATCATCCTTCAAAAATAATATGTACATCAAAAAAACAATATTGAAAAACTTAGAGTTACCAGGTAGAATGAGAGATATGTGTAAAAGAAAATTAATTTATTATTAACCACGACAGACTGGATTACCTTAGCTTGATGCAACTATGATAACGCGAGAAATAAAATCGCGAAATCCTAAACCTTGGCTTTTCCACAACTTGCATATAAAACAGATTTGTCTTTCTTGCTTTTGACTTTATTACACATATCCTTTCTTTTCTTTTCTCCTTCCATTTTAATTATTCAGATTATTATCAGTGAAATCGGTTTCTAATAGCGCGTTAATTTGGCACGCTACGACTAGCGTTTTGGGTAACTGCGTGCCAAGAAATTGTATAAGGAACGCTTAGGTAACAAATTTCGACTGTAACGTAACTATACAAATAACTTCATTAAAAATAAGATCGATACTTGTTCTGATGTAGAACAGATATATAATAAGTCGTGCTGAAGTTACCTTCCATATCGATAAGAGCTTTCTAGGTCAGCAACTGACTTCGGGAATAAAGGATTTAGAAATATAATTTGCAAATTCAATTAAAAATTTATCATATTTTTTCACCATCATTCCAAGGCTCTTATTTCATTATTTGTGTTCTCCACACGAGACGGATGGGTGGAAATTATGCACAATGGAATTGATGCTGTGGGAGTCGATCAACAGGTGGGTGTCTTTCCTTGTAGTTTTTAAACGAAAATGTCGAATGGAGATGTTTTTTTCTAAGTTGTCAAGATATATCATATGTTTTCCTGTTTCTTAAGACTGAGACATTAAAGGCATTCTAGTTATAGCTCAGGAGTTGATTCAGTTCAGCATTAAGAGCACCTTCACTAGCAGCTTTTGCACTCTCGAAATTGAGCATTAACTTTTTACTTCAATCTTTTCCTTGAAAGCCTGTAAAGAACTACGCTGAATGGCGACTTGCGTATTTCATTCCTTTTCTTATGCTGGGTGGCTTCCTTGTGCTAAATATGATCGTGGGTGTGGTAGTAGAAAATTTTCAACGCTGTCGAGAAAGACTCGAGGACGAAGAAAAGCAGAGAAGACGAAGAAAGATGCTGGACAAAGCAAGAAGCAAGAATCAACAAGGTGGATATTACCTTCCTTTTGCGCTTGTAGTGCTGCGCCTACAATTTCAACCTTTAGGAATAATTTCATAATTATGCTATTTGGCCTGTCTGTAAGTCAGATTTATTTCGTCTGCCAGAAGGCGAGTCTACAGAAGCTTAGTATGTATGCACGTTGCATCATATCGTAAGATAAAACCTAGGAGGGTTTTTTGTAACACTGTGTACAAACATTCTGTCTCTTTTTCTAATCATGCCTGATTTCATCAGCATAGTCTATTTATTTACACTCACCAGAAAGTCACAAATTATAATTGCCTTAAGGACAGCAAGCAACTACTTAACGAACCCGCCAGAGAGAAAAAAAAAAGAAAAACAACAGTAACAACAAAAGCAAATACAAAAGAAAGTAAAGAACTCTTATTAATTACATCTTCATGTTTTTCTTCCAGAGGTAGACCGAACGTATTACCAATCTTACAGCAAATGGCGACGGCGTGTTCATGATGTGTGCCTTCACATGTATTGGGACGTCGTTATTGCTATGGTGATTTGCCTGAATGTAATCTGCATGTCTTTGGAGCATTATCAGATGTCACAGGTAATGAGGTGGAATACAAAATTGAGGCTAAAACTTCATTCCTGAGTACATTACGATTCATGTTTTAGTTTCTGGGCGTGTGATAAACACTAGCTAGCTTAGTCAATAGGGGTTTTAGGAAACTTGGTAGACGATTTAATTCATTCTATTATTTTTTCCCCTTTACTTAATGTTCATACAAACTTTTTCACTTCGTTATCAACTCTTTTTGCTTGTTTTGTGCTTTTTTTATTGGTACGCTTCATTCCACATAAACCTCCCTCAAAATGAGGTTGAACTTTTCAATACTGGAAGGAAGTGGTACAAAATTGGTCCTGGAATTCAAATGAACAATAAATTATTTGATTAACTTTTGCAGACTTTTGTTTTATTCGTCGAGACTTCAAATTACCTTTTCACCGGCATTTTTGTGCTAGAGGTGGTGTTCAAGTTCATTGCCTTTGGATTCGTTCGTTATTTCCAAGACGGGTAAGTCGTGGGTTGCGCCAACTTTGGTAGACATTTCCACGTTTGATTAAGACCAGTAAGTGAATATCTATCAACGCTGCTGGAAAGAACGCCTTAAAGTAAGGAAACTTACCAAGTTTGATACGTCCAAAGCAAGCGAAGATATTGCTCCCCAAGGTTGCGATGAAATTTTACAGACAACAGACAGTTGACTGTATGGTGGGGGTTAATTTAGTGCCCCCATCATAGAAACGTCTGTGAATTTCACGACTTTGTGGAACTATGTGTTCGTTAGGTTTCAAAAAATCACTTTCAAAAGTGATTGTCCCAGTCAAGTGCCTATTAACTCCAGAACAACTGAGGCTGTTTATATATATTCCATGGAAGGTCGTGGGCTCAATTCCCATCTAGAACTCAGAATATTTTTCTGAGTTTTTATCTCCACATATATCATTCTGTTTGGCAAAATTTGAATTTTGAATTTGTTTGCCCATAAATTTAACAACAGCAACAACAACAATAGTCATAAGGCAAAAACAAAAGCCTGAACGAATGCGGGCAATGATGTTCGCCCTGCAATGTTAATGACCCATCGCAAGTTTCTATTCTTTTTCTGTGATAGAGAGCATGCGATGTTACCTTAATTCATTTAAGGAGAAAAAACCGGAATGCACTGAATCAATGTGAGATAAATGCTTGTCTTTTGATTGAAAATGAAACGAAGACTGAATTGTAAATTGTAAATATCTTATTATCCACTCCCCTCAGGGCTTTTCAGGGATAATTTACAACACTGGTTGGGGGACTTTGCCAGACTGCTTAAGGTGCAGTTTACAAGTAGTGAAGGAATGAGTAATGATGCCCCCATACATGAGTGTGAAAGTGAGATAGGCCACTACACCGGGCACTACGTGCCCTACTCTTTACGAAGAGTGTGTGGGTTCTTTAACGTCCCACAGATTTAATACATGTGCAAGGGCTTGTGAGACGGGGCCTACGGTTTATCGTCCTTATCCGAGAAGACTAGAAAGTCTAGCCGTTTGCAGATATTATTACAAAGGCAGCACTTTCTCCTCAGTTATTTAAAGACCCTGAGTGTTGGTCCGGCCGGGGTTTGAACCCGCGACCTCCTGCTCAGTAGACCGGCGCTCTCCCAACTGAGCTAACCAGAATGTGATTCTAGTAGTTAGATATGTCCCCCGGCCGCGATCGAACAGCTTCCTTGTTTTCAGTGGTCATTTCAAAAAATGATTGTTTGAAGCAGTAGCTTTATTTACAACTTTATTATCAGATTCAATAAAAGTAAATTGCATGATCGAGTTGTAACAGAACGCCAAAAGTTCTGCGAACTGACACAATATTGTATGAACTTATTTGTAGGTGGAATCTGGTTGATCTAGTGATCGTCATTCTCTCTTTGGCTGGAATAATCATCGAGTCGCTAAGCTCTTCTAAAAAACTCTTGATAAATCCAACTGTTGCAAGATCATTGAGAGTATTACGTATTATCAGAGGTGTGTAGATAAAGGTTATAACTCAGTATATAGTATCCGTAGTGTCCGTCAGGAAGGAATTAGTCTGTGGACAGGCTATGTAGGTTGGTACAGGAGGGGACGGGGGAGAGGTCGAGAAAGGGCAAAAAAAGGGAGGGGGGGGTGAAGAAGGGGTAAAGCCTGTAGACAAAGACCTTATGCCCTCTCGTAATAGACGGCGTAATCTAAATTTATACTGAAACAGTTTGCTACCACAGATTTTCGCATCGAGGGACAGTACGTGAGCCAATTTCCGTAAAAAATTAAGGTTTTTAGAAACTATTGGTTAAGCTATTATTGATGTTGCGTATTGATCTTGTGATTTATGTTATCAATTATGATAACCACTTTTATTTGGTTAACACTCAGTGACTCATCAGGTGGGGGTTACTTCCTTATTTAGGCTATATAGGTGTGTGCTGCGCCAAAGGGTATGGTCTTTTAGCCATTTTGGTCTGAAATAGGTTTCCAATTTTGACCATCTTGGTCTGAAATAGGGTATGGTTTGTGCACTCTAGTCTTGAATTGGGTATGTTTTTTAGAAGAATCTACTTCTTCATCATTAGGCGATAAATCCCTAAGGAGACCTATCATTTCAGGTCTGAAATAGGGTATCAAATTTTTGATCAGGTCTGAAATAGAGCAGGGAAAATCACAGATTTTGGTCTGAAATAGGCTTAGGGTTTCAGGAAGCGTGCCTCACACACCCACCCAATTTTTCTGGAAGTACGCGCCACCTTCCCCCCCCCCCTCCCGGTGACTCGTCAACGAGTGGTTTAAAAATATTTACAGGAATAACACTCTTTTCATCGCCTACTGAAATCTCTGTACATGCTTTCTTTTAGTGTTGAAGCTCGTGAAGTTAGCTAAAGGGGTTCGTTCACTGTTGGACACTCTCTTTGAAGCTCTTCCGCAGGTTTGTTTTTCACTGACTGCTTTGTTTTAAGTGAAAACTATTATTATTTGTGTAATTTATTTTTTAAAAAAAAAACGCAATTACACAGAGCATTGTAGAATTTCTTGTCTTGCTAAACGGATATTTATGTTTGTTTTTATAAATTCAGGTTGCAAACCTTGGACTACTATTCCTGCTTTTGTTTTTTATCTACTCCTGCCTGGGTATTCAGTTATTTGGCACTCTTGGTAAGTTCTCATCACGTGGTAGCCAGACAATGCTAAGCATACCCATACCTGCCAATCAAAGGGCAAGGGACTTAATCAAGGGACAGTCTTGATATGGTGTATCAGAAATATGAATTCCCTTAAGGACGATCACAGCCCCTTAAAGTTATGTTGCTCCACTTTTTTGTTCTATTAGTTCATTGAGAGTCGCGCATAGAGAAGTCCTAGAATACATACCGTGATTTATAGTACCACAATAAAGTAAAGCTCTGTTGCTTTTATAGAATGATCGCTATTTTCAATTTGAATTCCATAGGTATGTATGTGTGTATGTAAGTTAAATGCCTAATTTGGTCATTTGTCTCAGAGTGTTCTCCGTCGCAGCCCTGCCAGGGCCTTGGTCCGCATGCGCATTTCAGAGATTTTGGCACGGCTATGCTGACATTATTTAGAATAGCAACAGGGGACAACTGGAATGGTATACTAGAGGTTAGTGAATATAAAAAGAACATGGAAATATTGTGGGACCGTCATCTGGACAATCTTTTAAACAGTAATCCTCCCATACTTACAATTGTGTTACGGCTAGTTAACTCATCAAACGCCTTCGATAAGGTCTTTTTCAGCGCTTCTGATACCTGATGCAGAAACGAAAACCGAAACAAATTCGTATCAGTAAGGAAAATGAATTACATTTTTGCTGTTTCCTTTATACAAACATAATATGAGCAGTTTGATTGGACTTGGTTGATTAAATTTAATGTAACAAATTAACAGTCATTCCTGACATAATGGTGTGCTCAGTAGGTTAGAGCAGTAGGCCCGGGCTTGATTGCCGGCCGGACGAACACACAGGGTCTTGAATAATTAACCAATAAGGAATCGTTACTTTTGCTGTGACATCTGCCAATGGTAATACCTTCACATCCTGGCCTCTCGAATAACGTTGAAAAACCCTTCCCACAACACTTTCTTTGACGTCACATCTCGTTAAACGAAAAGGAACTACTAGGGACATAACAATTCCTGGCATGGTGCACGTGACCATCCCTTTCATGGGTTGTTGGGATGGGCGGGCCAGGCACCTCGCTACAGACCTATGGGTCATATTCGTGTTCATTGCAATTAAGCAGGTGTGTCCCCAGTAAAGCAGGGGAACAAATAATGAATACAGTAAAACCCTACGTGTAAGAACTTACATCTTTTTAAGTGCGGCAAATAAGGTTCTTATATATTGGGGTAATTTTTGGCAATTTAGGCTAAGTAGGTTATTAATTTCTATAAAGGAGACTAGGTTGCTGACTACCAGAAAAATAAAGAAATTTGACTTTGGTCTTTATATATATACAGCATTTATTCACAATTGTACCTTACAATCCTCCTTTATGCAAGGTGTTATGAACCCAATTATAGTACTTTATGTAAACCTGTTTTTGTTGTTGGAATTTCAGTAGTGCTTTCTTTTGTAATTACCGTTTGGTAGAGTATTTTCTTGTAATATCAATTTAGAATCTCAAAGCCGAACTTCTGGTTAAAATGTTTCTCATAATTCAACTCTAACCTGCGTATACGAACCTGTCTGATTTTGCTTGGCTAAACAGGTTATATATATTATAATATTTTTGGGTATTAAAGTGGCAAATTTCTGCCAATAGACCTAAATAAACCACTAGGTTCTTGTGCGGGTTTTTTTACGGCAATTATTTTTAAAATAAATAATTGTAAATAATGCCGGAGTAGCTCATGTTTAATAGTATCATTTACTTTTCTTGCCAGGACACACTGCGCTCCAAATGCTCCTCTGAAGCTGAATGTGATAAATACTGTTGCATGAGCAAATACACAGCACCTATTTTCTTCGTTACCTTCGTACTGGCGGCTCAGTTTGTGTTAGTTAATGTTGTCATTGCTGTACTTATGAAGCATTTGAAAGAATCTAAAGAAAAAATTGCAGCAAACATGGCCGCCAAAGACTTAGAGAAGAAACTCAAGTTATTGACTTTGTCGGCAAAGAATTTCATTAAAGGAAAAGCAAGGAAAAATGACTTGCCTTCAATTTCAAGACGACGTTCCATAGTGCAGCTGGGTTTAGGTGGAATAGAACTTGCTCAGTTGAAATATTGTGAGCCGGAAAATACAATAGACAAATCGTTTGTGACAGAATTTTCTAGAGCTGATGCAATTTTCCAAGAATATATGCGTTTAAATGCTAATCTTCAAAAGGCTAAGATGAAGATCGTCCGTACCTCCTCGCACAATACTGTTGAAGTAAACACGCCGTCTACTGAGACGCACTCTGTGCGACAAAGGCGTAATAGCGTGGGTGGAGTAAGGGAACTTCATAAGATCTCTACTCATTTAAGTTCATTTACTGTATATAAGTCAGGCGCCAAACTGTGAATCACACATGGATTTTCAAAAGGAGAACGTTCAGGAGATGTTTAATATGTTCCTCTACGATCCCTTATCCCTATATTTCTTATTTGCCCTTTTTTGTGTTTCCTGGTGTTAAAAAATCAGTGAAAAAAAAGGATTGAAGTGGCCTTTAGTTAATGTTATGGTTGAACTGTTATTGATTAAATGTGGTCCTTGGGTTTAAACCTGCGCGGAAAGAAAATGCCAAGCTAAGTAGTCCTTAGTATTTCATAACTTATTAACCCATAGACCTCGGCAACTGTCATGGATAATTATCATTTGTTCTTTTGTGAATCCACAGAAATTTCCCCGAAGCAATTTCACCTTGGGGAAATCGGTCACACACAAAACGTTGCCTCAACGTGGGCAACAGCCATTTGCCCATGGGTAAAACGGCCGCTGCAACCCCACCTATTAATAAGAATCCAAAGTGGCTCAGTCAATCACAAGATTAGAAAGTGAAATCTACGCAACATTAGAAATCGCTTCTCGCTTGCTTTCGTGCTGTGTGGAAAATATTTTGAATATGTTAAATAGAATAGATTCAAAAGCTCCTTTTAGACACTCAGAAGATTTCTTCACATCAGTAACGTCAAGAGTTCTTTCATCAAGGATTCGCTGGTACCAATTTGTGGACCCGCTTTGTCTTGCGGGCTACCAAATTTTCCTTCTTTGAGCGCAAATGAAGTCGACGTCATTGTTGCAGTCTTAAAATTAAGCGGTGAATCGGTATTGCTAAGCGGAATGGATATGGAGGTTTTTAAGTGGGGTAAAAACAGTCGAAAACGCTTTACTATTCGCGCCAGTCCCTTGCAACACTAGTATAACATAACATAACATAACATAAAACTTTATTTATACTCGAATTTTAGAGTAGCTAACAAGCTAATATCTTCGAGCTGACACTACATAAAAATAATATAGAAAATATATATATACATTAAATGCAAGAAAAGAAAATATTATTTACCTTTCACAATTTTAAGTTTAAGTATGTCAGGCAAAAAGAGTCTACATGAAGGTAACATCCTGTATTTTAGTCTTAAAGTCTGCAAAAAAACTGGTACGATTCGTTCTGTTAACCGTTACTTGTCTTATTAAGAAGGCTAACGAACCGATCCCGCCCCAGCCAATGTTACACAAGCTCCAGCTCTGCTTCAAACAGCCCAATCGCCAGTATTAATAAGAGCTCCGCATCTCATTTCTGCCCAGTTCGCGTAAGAATCCATTCGTTCTGTTAACCGTTTCTTGTCTTATTAAGAAGGCTGACGAACTGGTCCCGCCCCAGCCAATGTTACACAAGCTCCAGCTCTGCTTCAAACAGCCCAATCGCCAGTACAGTGCCGATGACTGACTTTCCCTCGCTTGAGTTTCGCTGGCGCTATACTCCCAGTTTGTTTAGTGCCCTTCCCTTGGCTCCCGTAAAGTTTTTACACGTTAATGTTTTGCTTTTGTATTATCTAGTAGCGGTGTTATTCGTACTTTGCCTCGCTATCTGCAGTTTGTGCAGTGTTCTTCCTTCCTTCGCTCCAGTCCCTTGCAACGCGAGTATAAATAAGAGCTGCGCATCTCATTTCTGCCCAGTTCGCGTAAGAATACTCTGGCTGCTGGCAGCCGTGATCAAGAATTGTTTGTCTGTCCCCTTCACGTATCGCACCTTATGCGGCCGCGCTTCTCTCCCCCCCCTCCCTTCCCTATCCTTTCCACTTCCAACTCGCTCAAGCGCGGTTCCATTTCTCCTTCTCTTATTCAGCGAGCGTGAAAGCGACTGTCGCGAATAGTGCTATGAACTTCACTCTTCATAATGTTCACAAGGACGTTTAGCGCATTTATCGGTGTGTTACCGCAAACATGAAAGTGATCAAAACCCAGTGATCCGCGAGTTTTCGTTTAGCTCCAAAGAGAAGAACATTTTAATTAGCTTTACAGTAAATTAAGCTTCAGGAACTGACTCTTTGCTGCTTTTAAAGACATTCGATGATTTAAGGACTTAAACCTAAACTGGCCGAGAAAAGTGAATTCAACAAAATTGTTCAGTTAATATATCACAGTTGTGTGTTTGTTCAAGAATATATCTTCATTTATATACAGAGCAATGTAACTCGACAATGACCTCAGGCTAGGTTTACCCTAGAGCATCCTGCGTTACTTGAGATCAGGCATTCTCTCTTACAGCTGCACGCGGTTTCGCTAAAATTGTCGTTTCGCAGGAATTTTATTCTCCAAAGAAAACGAAAATAGGTCCTTAGCTGAGGCTAACCAAAGTTGAAATTTTTCCGGATTCATAAATGTTTCTTAAGTTTATTAATTACACTTAGTGTCGGATTCGCTTTCGTTTACACGTACAAAACTGTAAATCCGAGAACAATCATTCGGATACAAAGTTCTTGCTTTTTTAATAGATGCAAAATCTCCGAGCATGTGATCAAACTGCAACGTTTTCATTTTCGATTTGCGCAAACAAATCCTCTACCAAATTCGTCCCGAATATGGAAAACTCTCCTCTAACCAAAAACTATTAAATAGGTATTAAGTTTCAGTGGGTACATAAAACGTCCTTTACAAAAATTCTAATTTTAGATCATAATATTCCTATCCGTTAAATAACTAGCACTTTCTCCAAAAAGATAAAGAATTACCAAGAGAGGAAAGTCACTAGTCAGCCCCACCCCGTACTTGGAAGTAAGATAACACCTTCTTATCTGCAAAACCAGCCTATGGTTCAAAGCCAAGAACTAATCCGCTGAAACTAAACCTAGATCCAATTTTCCAGAGTCGAGAATTGGTTTTCCAAGGAACAATCAGCGAAGATAAACACTGAAGAAAAGCATTTATGGTTGGCGCAGAATATTTTGGTGCAAGAGCCCAACCACGCGACCACATTTCTGAGTTCTGCCTGTCAACACAATCCGGAAACCACACGATCACACACTTTCGCAGCACTGATAAATCTATCCGCAACCCTGCATAATCCCTTCTCACGTTTAATATGAGCCACATATCATGAAATAACGCTGAAACAATCAGCCTATTGGCAGATAAACACCTCCAGACTTTTCTGTCAACACTCGTCTTATTCAAGTTCCCGGATGTATAGTCACACGGTCGGCAGACTAGCAAATACCCTGTTGCCCGGGTCAAAGTTCACCTGCAATTTTGCTCTCGCGATCGCCCAATAGATTCGACTCCTAGAAGCCTGTCCCCGAGGCCAAAGACTTAATGTTATATCACTGCATTCTTATTTTAAAAATTTCTGTTAATTTATGTACATATTTTCAAAGTTAAATAAAAATTGTTATTATTATTATTATAATCATAACTATAACAAAATTCTCAAATCTGATTGGCTATCAACTGCCCTGATTTCAGTCTTAATAGGACAGTTTAATAGGACAGTGCGCGTCACGCCTAAGTAATTGGACAGTACACGCCATCACGCGCGCGCTTAAGTGGCTTAGAATTTCTTGTGCTTTGATTTAAAAAAAAGAGCCTATATATCACAAATTTTCAGGTTAAAGTTATGTTTAATAGGTAACAGAACTTTGTGTCGTCCAATTCAGTCTGTAATCATACTCGTGATTAAACATGATTACAGACCGAATTGGACTTCACTCAGTCCTGTTGCCATTACTTATAGCGGAGCACCATGGGTAAGAAAATGTGGTAAACTACCCATCCGAGAAAATTTGGTAATCACGTCTCTTTACACCGATCGACCGCCCGACCGTTCGTGCGCACCACAGGTATACCAATGTTAAATAACTCAATCAACAGGTATGGCAACCCAAATGTAGCTCGAGGTTATTTTGACCGGAAATCGCACAGCCACCCGCGTCTTGTAAAGCAGAGAAAACAACAATGAAGACGAAAACGGAAAGCGAAAATATGTCTCTGTATCCGTGTTTTCTAAAGTATTAAGCTTAGAGTAATTGTCATGTCCACAAATTTGGAATATAGAGCAAGAGAAAGACAGAGAAAAAGAGAAAATAGGCGGCAGGCCAGCGAAGCTCAACCGCAAACGAAAAAGAGGGCTACAAGAAGAAGAACAACATGAAAATTTTGTAGCAGCGGTAACAAAATGAGAAATTCTAGCGGCCACCAATGCAAGGTGAAAATGAGCGGCAGGGAAAAAAAGGTGAACGAGAAAACGTACGACATTTCTTTCATAAAACGTGTAATTAAAGTTTCTGGAAGTTTCACGTTGTAGTCGTGCAAAACAACGGGAAAGAAATGTACAAAAAAAGTGTGCTACACGTGCAAAGCTGCTCAGTTTTTGCTAATTAGACCTATTGTTGTTTTTCACCGCTCTCCGGACTTGCCTTCGCCGCTTAGCATCACGCGATTTTATATTTTGTTTGTTTGAGTAAACTATAAATATTATCGAGAGCTTCGCTTTTAGCCCTGGCTAAATCGATATATATTAGTTTTGATGCTCTACCATGTGGTCACAAATTATGTAGTTCATAAATTAATCGCAAGATCAGGCCACCTCGAACACCTGCAAGAATTACTGCTATCTTCTATTTCTTCGAAAAAGTGGAAAAATAATTTTAAAGTGTTAACACGAACCTCAAAAAACCTAAGCCGCCATCCATTGAACAATAATGACCTACATAATTACCTCTATAAATGGTTATGTTCGGTCCTAATGAGAGCCGAGTCTAAGAAATGGCGTCCATGAATTAATTTTTATCAAACTGACCCTTTTTAACACCTGCCTAAACTGTTTCTCAATGAGGAATTAAAAGATCTTTTTGGCATTAATTAAAGATTTCCATATGTCGTGTCTTGTGTCCTTATTTCGATGTAAATGCTATTTTTTCCAATAAGGCAGAATTCCTTGTCTTTTTAAAATACATAAACAGACTACTTAGAAGGCATCCTTTTGATGATAATGCCCTATATTATTTCTTTAATGGTTATCGTTTTTCTCCAATAAAAAGGGAAGTCCAAGAAATTCGGCTGCCATGAATTAACTCTTAAATAAAACCCTTTCTCACCTGCCTGAGCGGTAAACGGTGTGACAGTGTTAGGTTATTAAAGGCATACATTATGTTCTCATCGAACATAAAAACCTTTTTGGCATTAATGTTTTTCATATATCGTATCCTTTGCCTTATTTCTATTTTTTTTTCTTCCAATAAAGGAGAATCCAGTGCGTTCTGCTATACAAATAGATTTTGAGAGGGAAAAAGGGCGGACATGATAGTTTAACTGGTTGTCTGACTAGCAGTAGACATTTACCAACAAAGGATGACGTGCTTTGTTTTCGATTTGACTCTGAGAGACTTTTAAAAATCGTTTGATATTGTTTTCGGGAGATTCTAGTAAAATTCGAAGATAATTGAAGATACCTAGGCACTCAGTTTAGTTTTGACCAGTTCATTCAGGAGTAGAATATGGAGAGATGCCCCCAAAAAGATTTTTCGTTTCTTTCTCTACCTTTATGTCGTTACTGTTTTATGGGACAGGCTTTCCAATTCGAGAAATCTCTCTCAGTAAAAACGCAACCAGTTTACGATGCTATCGCACTGTATCAGCTCGTTGGGCGGAATTTTCTCGGATACCCTTTCTTACTTTATCTTTTTAAATTTCAGAGTGTTCACGTAAAAGGGGTAGTTTTGATTCTTTCATTCAAATTTTCAGTTCTTTACAATACCTTGAGCCGGAGGTAAAGCACTGACGTATTCGTCGAGATTCCCTTTCTCCGTTGCGAAGGAATGTGAGCTCGTCATTTTATTGAGTTACTAGAAGAAAATTTCTATGGGTAAAACCTTATTTGAAAGCCCTAAAAAATTCAACCGACTGACCTAGTCCTAACAATCGCTTTAACGGGTAGGAACAGCTAGAGAAAATTTTTAAAGTTTTATTAAATATGATTATTCAGTCACTGACTGTAAATAAAGAAA